TCAAAAAGCAAATATCAAATTAGTTTAAAACCAAAAGATTTTCACAAGTTTGATTATTTTAATTTTAATTTTTTTGTATCTTTTTGAAAATTTATTTAAAAATAAATTTGAAATTTTATTTACAATATTTTCATATGAACATAAGCCTTTAAATCTGCTTTAGTTCATAAAAGTAATTATGAATTTACAATAGTTTTCTTTTTATATATGTAATTATTGATCCATCGATCAATCATTGGTAAAATTCAAATTATAATTGCTTCATATCTTTAAAATTCAAAGGATAAGCAGATTTAAATCTTCAGTAAAATTTTGTTTTATTTTTCAATTTTAGTAATTTTAATAGGAAATTCAAAAATGATTGAAATGATTGATTAAAACAAAAAAAAAAAAAAATCTTAAAATTTATATGATGAATTCATTTTATTTTAGTGTTATATTTCAATGTCACATCAAAGCCATAGCATATTTGACACAAATTTTTTTGAAACGCACAAATGCTGATTTATCAGAAAGTATGTTCAATAATTTTTTTAAATTTTTATTAAATTTTCAGAAAGAAAAAAAAAAAAAAAAAGCAAAAGTAAAACTTTTGATATGAATGCATTTTTATCATTTAACAGTATGTTGGCGATCATTTGATTATCATTTCGAGCAAGAAATTCTCATGATTCCTGGTGTTTCTTATCAGCGAGAGATGATCTATCGAGTAGCGCGTAAGGAATTCTCAGATCAGTAAGTTTAATTTTTGAAAAAAAAAAAAAAAAAAATTGCATAAAAATGATTATTCTTCAGAGAATATAATTTGAAAAAAAAAATTTTTTAAATTTTTGAAATTTAAAATTATCAATATTAACTAACTGCTTCTTATCTATTTGTGGGTTAATTTCAAATTATTTTAACAACATTTTAAAATAATTCACATAAATTTTAGCTATAGTTAAAAAATGAATGTTAGATAAATGAATTTTCATTTCGTATGGAAATTTGAAATGACTTTTACATTTGTTTAAGAAATGCTCAAATAAGACAAACATTAATCAACAAATTTCTTTCTTTCGTCAATGCTAACTTATTTTCATACAAAATTATTTTCAGTTTTAAAATCAAAATTATTATTTCACTGTAAAATTATTTTCAGTTTTAAAATCAAAATTATTTCACTGTAAAATTATTTCAGTTTTTTTTTTTTTTTCGACAAATATTTAGTAAAAATTTTTTTTTCATTTTTTTTTTTCATCATTTAAAACTTTTTTATTACAGACATTTGATTTGTGAAATATTGAATACATTTCCACTAAGATCTCAAAATTGTCATCGAAAAGATTACTTCCATCAACCTATCACTTATCAGTTTTTTAAATGTGAATGTAAACAACGAAGGACATATCTCAGTCTTTTAATGGATTTATTTTTCAGTTATTTACAAAAAGAAAAAGAAACTGTATGAAATTTAAAATTATATAAATAGAAATTTTAATAAAATTACTTATTGAAATTTCAGAGTAATAACTATTATAGTTATAGAAAATTTTTTTTTTTTTAAATTATAGAAATTTTTTAGAGTAACTTTTAGAGTAATAACGAAATGTATAAACAAAATCTAAAAAAAAAAGAAAATCATTTCTTTATTAGAGGAAGGGTTTTTTTATCTATTTTGAAAGAAGACAATCAAATCCAATCTTTATTGGCTTCAAAAAAATTTGATTTTATTCTCTCCTATTTTCCATTCATTTTTTTTTTTTTTTTTTTTAATTTAATTGGAATGGTTGAGGTTTATATCTTCAATTTAATAAATTTTCTCAAGCATTATATTATTGTAAGGTAAATGAGGAGACAGGTATCTTTCATTGCAGGAAACTTGTGATGAAAATATGGCTGATTATTTCAAACAGTACAAAAATACCCTTAAAAGGCCAACTTGCTATGAAGTGTATCATCAAAATGGGCCATTAGTTATTGATTTGTATTCAGTTACCCGAAAAATTAATTTCACGGGTATTTTAATCAAAAGAGTGGTAAATCTTAGCCAATTTGTATTCACTTACCTGAAGTGGTGTTTTAATAAAATGAATGATAAGTTGTAATTTTAGTAAAATGCGGAATTTATTGAGTAATTTCAAAATCTTAGTTAAATTTTAGTGGGAACCATTTGAGATTTATATTTTTAACATAATCAATTTTTTAAGTATCATATTATTGTGGTGAAATTTTTAAATTTTTTGAACTTTTTGATATATTACCTTTACTACATACTCATTATCATTAATTACTACTAATTTAATTCTTCGTTAATTACTATTAATCATTAATTACTACTAATTTAATTCTTCATTAATTACTATTAATCATTAATTACTACTAATTTAATTCTTCATTAATTACTATTAATCATTAACTACTACTAATTTAATTCTATGTTCAGATTTTGCTAATATCTCAAATTATTGTTTTTGTTTTTGTTTTTTTTCTAACAAAGCGTAACATAAATGTTTCAATTTTAGATGACAAATAGTACTCCAATTTGTGTTACTTTTATTAAAATTAGCAGAGAAAGTATTTCCTTTGGTATATACGCGTTACGTCCATCAAAAACAGCTGCGGAAGCTAAAAATTCGAGACGTCTTACAACGTTTAAACATCATCAAACTAATACATTTGTGCAACGATGTCAATCAAATTCAACTAAATCATGCAACGGTCAACTAAACTTCATTTTTTAAATTGAATTTTTTTAGTTTTTTTTTTTTTTTAAAAAATTAAAAAGTTAGGTAAATATAAGCCTTTTTGTGACTTATTATCAAAGATGAATGAATTAAAAGATATTAACTTATAATTAAAGGGAAGTTCCGATAATTTGAAAAAAAAAAAAAATTTCTTTTTTTTAGGTTTTCCAAATTTAATCGAACATTTGTTACCACTAACATTACATCGCTATGCAGGAGATAGAGAACCATCTGGTTACTCAAAATGTTATATCACCGATGATTTAAAGAGAATAAATTGTAAAACGAATTTAGGATGCTTTGATTTTCATTCTTTTGATGGTGAAAGACAAGTAAGCTTAAATTTTATAAATAAATTATAAAAAAAAAAAAAACCAGTGATGTTTGTAAAAAACAAGTAGTAATTAAAAATTTAACTCTGAAATTTTATAATCATTGATAAGTTCTATTTACATAAGTCAACTACTGAGGAGTAATTTCATAAATTATATTAACAAACCGAGTAGTTAAATTTTATCACAAATTGATGTGAAACTAAATTAGTATTTCCAAATAATTTGTTTTAGGATAGAAGAAACTATTAGCACATTTTATCCTTAAATTAGATAATTAAATCAAACTATTTTGATATTTTCCAAACAATATCTTAAACTTTATCTTTTCATCCATTACTTTGCACTGCCAAAACTTTTAAGCGTGGATGTATCGATGATATACCAAAATTAATAAAAGAAAAACCAAAATTATTAGTACTAAATTATTGCAAACATGCCAAATTATGGAAGTTTCGATCTTATACCTGTAACGGTATACATAATATCACATATTCTCATGTAAAAACACTCGATGGAGTACTTTGCTGCTGTAAAAAAATTTGTCCGTTAAGGTAAGTATGTCAAATAACTTTATCTTTAATAATCTTAATCTATTTGAAAAAATGAAAGTTAGAAGTTAACTAAGTATTTCCATAAATTTGTACAGTTATTGATTTTAATATCAACACAAATTACCTATGTAAATTTAGATAAATTTTGAGTTATTTAAATTGAGTTATACTTAATCATAATATACAAAAATTTTATCACTTAAAATAAGTCTTCTATGATATGACATGCCTCAATTTATTAATAAACAAAAATGTTCCCATATTCTGAAAAAAAAAAAAAAAAAAAAAAAAAATGAATTTTCAGTAATCAAGCTCAATCACCGACAAATGCAAATATGGGTTTCAATACTTTTGAATCAGTTTCTTGAAAATTTTTTTCGTCATCTACTACATGATATCATTTATTCATCAATATTTTTGCATAATGTTAAATTTTTTTTTTTGTATACCTTAGTGTCAAAATATTTGATAAACTTTAAGTTAAGTTGGTCCAATGTGAATGGAACGTCCTCTTGTCATCGTTGGAGTTAAGTATTTTGAATTCTAAAAGATAATACAATATAAAGATGCAAAAAGTTTTAGCGAACCTATTTTTTGTGAAAATAAAAAATAACAACAACAGCAATAATTATAATAAAATTAAACTGAAATAACTTGAAGGGATGGTCAATATGACAATTTCTTTTTACTGTCTCTTTTCCATTTTAAAATAGGAATAAAGAACTACTTAAAAAAATAAATTCTTAAATGTCGAAATTGAAAACAGCACCGCTGCAGTTGCAGTGTTGCCTTGGAAATCGGAACCTGACGATGACGCATTCTCTTGGACAAATGCGCTTTTCTGAAAAGAATCTTTTGTTTCATTTTTTGTCATTCAAACTTCAAATTATTCTGCATCATTGAGTTATGTCATTTTTGTCTTTGTTCTATCCAAATAAATCCTTTGTAAAATCAATTTCAGGAAAAAGGAATGATTCTCATCCTCTTGAATGGAAGATAATTTCAGGAAAAAGGAATGATTCTCATCCTCTTGAATGGAAGATAATTTCAGGAAAAAGGGATGACTCTGATCATCCTGAATGAAAACGAACCTGTTTTCCGTGACAACAAAAGAAATAAAAAATAGCAATAACAGCAATAATTATAATAATTGTGCTAACACCCATTCTAAGACAAACTGTTTCGCTTCTAAAATTTTAAGAATGCAATTGTTTCCATTAAATCTTTCTAATATAAACTACTATTTGGGTTACTAATTCAAAATTCCGGAAACTTTACAAAAAAAAAAAAAAAAAAAAAAAAAATTACAAAATGAATGAATTATTCTCATTTTTGTCATTGCTCTCTTTTATATGTATCCTAGACGGTTGTTTTACAATTTCAATAATATGCACTCCACATTGTCGGTCAGTAACGAAAGTCAAGAATGTTTGGATGATCATGATAATGGTATAAGTAAATACCAGTAATACTTTTGCCTTACAAGAGAGAGAGAGAGAGAGAGAGAGAGAAAGAGAGAGAGAGAGAGACTAAATTTAAAAAAAAAAAAAAAAAACAATATGCTCTTTCAGCTCGAGGTGTCCATCTAATATACTCAGAATACGATTGTGCACCATCTGAAACTGATGTTGAGATAATCGAAGGAGCCAAACAGTATTGGTGGCAAAGTTCAAAATCGAGTAAATATGACAATTTCATCCTTAAAATTTACTTTTTCTTTGATATTTCCGCATAAAATAAAAAGAATAATTTTCAGCAGGTGATGAAATGAATTTCTATTACAATCATGCACCACATGGAACTAATAATTATTGCTCACCTCCATGTAATGTAATTCTTTATTAAAATTTTAATTTAGTAATAGTTTCTTTTTCTTTGAAACAAAATTCTTACTTTAAATTTAAAATTTCAGTTTCTGATTTGGAACAAAAAAAAAAAAAGAAAAAAAAAGAAAAATGGAATATTTAAAGTGAAATCATTTAAAAAAAAAAATTTCAAATGTATTATATTATTTGTATTTGAGATTTATGAAAAAGAAAGCTACACTAAAAAATTGATTGAAATTTATATAAACAACTAACTATCAGTAGTAACATTGATTAATAGACGACCACATTGAGATGCAAAAAAAAAAAAAAAAAGTTATTGTCACCAATAGGTAAACCAAAAATTAGATTTAGGGGACAAATCGATGATCATTGATCAGTAACAAACAAATATCTATAAAAAAAGTATTTATTTGCATAAAAAAAAAAAAACATTTATTTCTTAATGAATAAAATTTAAGATGGCAAGGAAGTATCACTTGTTTACTCTGAATATGATGAACCACCATCTGAAACAAGTGTTGATCTGAGTCAAATATTTAATAATAGAAAAATTGACGGTTTGTCTAACATATTACATTTTGTATTTTAACAATTCCGGTACAAAACCGGAATTGAATAACCACTTTTTTTTGCAAGAAATTATATACACTATGCATAAATTCTTTAATTCATAATGATAATAATTTTTACTTTGTTAATAAAATGTTTTATTAAAAAATTTATTTTTAAAACAATAACTTTAAAGTATACAAGAAATTATTAACAATTTTATTAATTCTTTTTTTGAAAAAAAAAAAAAAGGGAGAGTTGAGTTATGTTTGAGGTCGTGAAGTTCATTTAATTTATTCGGATTATGATGAACCACCATCAGAGACAGATGTCGAATATGATGGACGTCCATGGTGTTCTATTTTTGGTATTAGCTATTTCTTTCTTCTTTTTATTGCAAAAATTTTTAAACATTTTTTTTTTTTTTCAACCATTCATTATTTAAATTAAATTTACTTCAAAAATACAAATTTTAACTAATTTCAGGTAATCCAGCACTTTGGAAAATTCGAGAAGAAGGTATGGATTTGTTTTTTTCTTTTTTTTGTTTCCTTTCATACAAAATGTTGATCAAATGTTTTTGCTTGTATTATTGCAATCTTATGTTTATTGATTTTGTAATATTTGAAAAGATTACCATCTATAATTTTAATTATATAAAATATATTTTTAAAAATTAATTTGTTTATTAATAATGAATATAAAAAAAGATAAAGAATGTATGAGAAAAAGGAAGTAATTAGCATAATGGCTTAATAAAGATTTAAACATAGTAATTAGCATAAAGATTAAAAAAAAAAAAAAAAAAAGCAAAACAAAATTAAAAAATTAATATTAAAGAATATAAAAAATTAAAGATCTAAACAATTACAAAAAATAAAATAAAAAAAATTAAAGATTTAAACACATAAACACAAATGCGAAATTATTTAGCGATTGACAAGTGGCAAAAAATATTTAAATTTGAATGTAATTTAAATGTGTCATTTTTATGACAAAGAATGCAGTAGATAAGAAAAAAAAATTCTTATTGAAAGTTACATTTATTCAAGGTGAATAAGACATTTTGTAATAATTTAAATAATTTAAAATTGGAATTATTTAAAAATAATATATGAAAACTGCAAAAAAAATATAATTTTAGGTCGCGAGATGCATCTAATCTATTCTGATTATACAGAACCAAAATCTGAAACAATTGTTGAAATTGAAAATGACAATCAGTCTGAAATTTTCGATATCAGTAATTTATTTAAAATTATGATCAATTTGACAATATTAAAAAAAAAAAAAAAAAATGAGAATTATGATATTTAAAATTATGACTGTCCCAGTTAAAATTAAATATTTGGTTGTAGTCTAAAAGTATTTTAAATTTTATTTTTTATTTTATTTATTTATATCTTTTATTACAATGTTTGCAGGTAATTTAGAGACTTCCGATAAAGAAGTAAACACAGGTGAGATTATCTCGGTAATCACATTGACATTGAAATGTAGAATGTATATTTGAAATTTATTTTTATAAAAGTAAGAAAATGAAATGCCATAAATGTCTTTTTTTTTTCTGAGAATTTGGCAAATCAAATTAAAAAGATGAAAAAAGTTAGCGCAAAAATCATTATGCTAAGAGCAGCTTTTAAAAAGCGCCAAATATATTAAGTGATGTCGAGAGTGAAGCAAGTTTAATCCGTTTTATCATCTTTGAAACAATTTCAAATGTATATTTAGCAACTCATAATTCTATCATAAAGTCAATTTGAATTAGCGATAAATTTTTCATACACTTAAATTTGTGCAGTCAATAAGCAATGCTAATAATTTTATTAATAATTACTTTGAAAAAAAAAAAGTTAGTGATCACTTAAAGTGTTTAAAATTAATTCATATTTAAGACATTATTTTTTATTTTGATAATATTAACATTATATTGAAGATTTAAAATTAATTCATATTTAAGACATTATTTTTTATTTTGATAATATTAACATTATATTGAAGATTTAAAATTAATTCATATTTAAGACATTATTTTTTATTTTGATAATATTAACATTATATTGAAGATTTAAAATTAATTCATATTTAAGATTTAAAATGAATTCATATTTAAGACTTTATTTTTTATTTTGATAATATTAACATTATATTGAAGAGATTATTACTTTAAAAAAATAAAATATAAGACAAATTAAATTATTTTCAAAGAAATAAAATAAATGAATATATTTTTGCAGCACAAGAAATATCATGGAGCACTGATAATATTTATAGCGTTGATACACGTAATACTATTTCCAGTGATATTTATACACGTACGTTTAGTGTTATTATACAGTATTAATATTAATTATGTGAAAATCATAATTGAATTTAAGATAATTTCAAATTTAGGACGTCCACCAAAATTTCGTACTCTCTATGCTAGCGATTCGCTAGAATTTATTGAACAAAGTAAGCTTTTTTTTTTAATATTCAATCTATTATTTTTTAACTCATTAATCAATTAAATAACTTTATTTTCTTTTTTTTTTTAAAAAAACAAATACCTATCACTGATTTAATTTAATAAATAATTAAGTTGGAGAAAATGAAATGATCAACGATGAATTTAAACTATTTTCATCATCTGATAATGGTAAATTAGAGTTTTTAGCGTTCGTTTCATTACATAAATAATATTTAGATTAAAGATTAGTAAAATCTCTCTAAATTCATTTTTCAAATATATCATTTTTTAAACTTATATTTTAAACTTACATATATATATTGAAGATTCGATTGCTACAGAGAAATCCGTAATATCGGTCCAGTATCTTGATAACATGGAAGAATTGCTTGCATTCTCGAATAATAGTAAATTTGACTCCGGCAGTATGCATTAATCTTTTTTTTTTTTATTCTGCTCTATCAATCATTTTTTTTTGAAGATAAAAAGTAAAAGTGATGAACTGCTTAAATTATTTGTTTTACTTCTTGCATATTTCCAGGTGTTAATGAGAGTACTATTCTTGAATATCTTGAAGCTCAGGAATTGAATACAGGTATTACTTGCTTTAATCTGACTACTCGAATCTATTTTTTTTTTTTTTTTTTTCAAAAAATTCTTGAGAATAAACTTTTACGCTTAGAATTAATGCAATTAGCAAGTTCCAATTTAAAATTTCAACCTTTAAAATTTTTAATTTTATAACATACTAATATTATGAAACCTAAAGAATACACGTGCGACAGATGTAAATTCATATTTTACTAACAATTTAAAATACAGTCTATTTTGATAAAATAAAAGAAATGAAATGATTACTGTATTATTGTAGCAAAAACTGATTCATCGTTGGTGTCAATAATTTCGACAAAATATGACACAACATTGGGAAATTCATTTGCAACGGATTATAATGATTCGTCGAATTCCGGTTGATTGTCATCTGTCATATTTATTTTTATTCTCAAACCAGAAAAATATTTTAGCAAAAAGAAATAGCACTGCTTATTAGCATAGCAATTGAATGCTTATTCAGATGACATTATAGAATATTATCATCATATAATGGCTATCACATTTTAATTAATTATTATTATTTTCAGTTTCTTTCGAATCAATCTGAAAGTTTGGAATATCGCTACCTCTCTCTCTCTCTCTCTCCGCATTTACTTGTCATTAAATGATTGAATAAAACTTACGTCTGTTTAAAATAAGTGTCAACGTATTACTTCCACCATATTATGAGCACTTCACGTCCGTACGTATTATTCTTCTATTCATATGTTGTTGAGTCGTTCAGTTTGCACAACGGTTCCTCACCAACCGATCCGTAGATTACAAACGAGTACGGCATTACGTGAGGCGTACGTGATGTAGGTGTGTGGGTGGACGTGTGACGTTTACTTCTGATATCGTGTCGAAACATGTTGACGTGTAGCGGATGAAAAAGGTGTTAGACTAAGTTGACGTTTTGTTAATAACATTTACATAACTTGCGTTAAACTTGTATAGCAGAATACGGGAATAAGAAATGAAATATAAGAAGTAAGTAAAGAAATATAAATGGATGGTAATTTTTTGCTATACATAATAATAATGAATATAAATGCTTATCTATTGTACTTTACAAAACTACTCATTTACTGGAATTTGTAATTTTCTTGCATGCTTCAGTCCGTTAATTTATTGTTAAATTCAATCTGAATGCTAGTAAGGAAGCTAAGATGAACAGAATACAATTAGAATATAATGAAGTGGAATGGAATGGAATAGAATATTACTTGGAAATGAGATCCATGTAATTTGTACTTATAAATTTATATAATTTGTTTTTTACTATTCATGTTACCACTGTTCAAAATTTTATTTGATTATACATTTGTAAGTGACTTCTTTCAGGTACTTTACTACACTAAATTATTGACTTTTTTTTCAGCTTTGATCATTCTGAACTACTTTTTAATATTATACCTTATTTGTAGAGTTCGGCTTTATCAGTCAATTTTTACTTAATTTTTGCCGAGTACTTTGCACCTTTTTAATTTTTTGATTATTGTTTGCTTACATTCAACTGTGTTACAGGCATGAACCATGATGGATGAATATATGACGACATAACATCACCGGCGCAAGCTATCATGGAATTAGGTATTTGATAGGAAATTATCTCTTATATTTCTGACTTGTTTGTATTAAAAGCAGACTGAGTTTTCATTTTATAGAAAGAAAATATTCGTTAATTACTACTTAACTACTGAGATAGCAAATTTATTGCAGTAATGATAACTTGGATGGTTTCATTGCTGACTTTTTATGATTGTTAGTTTTTTATAATGGTGTTTCTATCTTAGAGCAAGCGGAACAAGCATTTTATAGAACAAAGCAATGAGTAATCTACAAGCAGAAGATAGTCAAAGATATAAAACAATATAAAACAGTTTGAAGATAACAGAAATAATTACCCTTAAACGAAGTACCGATGTCGGTTTGTTCCTCGTAAAAAATGATTTCATCATAAAAGAAATGATTCATTCGCATCGGGAATGAGCCAATTTTTTTGAGCATGCACTGTCTGAAATTTTATGCGATGAATTATCCGAATGCAATTTAAATAGTCCACTTTCCCGTATTTAAGTGCGTTCTCTTTTTTTTAATTTTATTATGTTTTAATTTTGTTTCATTTAGTTTTTTTTTGTTTCAACATTTAAAATAGCAACAATGTATGTTAAATTTCCATTTATGTTTTTGTTATCACTATAACCCTCTGCATCACATTAAAGCGATATTTACTACAGTAATTTCTTCCACTTGCATAAAAATTGCACTGCTCTCGTATTCAAGGTAGTAAAAAAATGCAAACATCTTAAATTAATCTCGAATTATTATTTCATTATCATTTTATGCTCAACTAGTTGTTTTCTTATTAAATATGGGTAAAGCACAAGTGATGGCACATCGGTAAAAAGTTGATAATATTATGACAATTCTAGAACTTTTACATATGATTGCTGCAATGAATTGTGGTAAGTATTTACAAGTAACAGTTTTTTCACTCCAAAAAAAACATAACGCTTGTGCATTTCTATTGCTATGAATAAGGCTTTAAAATGGTAGTGAATGTATTTGATATCAATGGGAATAATTTCGTTTTTCTGGTACATTTTCGTTCTTTTCTTTTTGCTTTGTTAACACTTATGCATTTTTGATTTTGCACATTTCGGTTTATTAATGGCTTATGCTGTTGTATATTTTGATCATATTTTCTCATACAATTTTTTAAATGAGTATTACTGATCATGTTCCTTCCACCATATACTGAATGCATAAAATAAGTGCTGCAGCAGATTATTTATTCAGATTACTCGCTGTATAAATTAAGATTCTTTTTATAGGAACGTCGCTTAGCAATAATCGAAGACATTGCTTGCAGCGTAGCGATAGTTTTGAGTGTGAGTCACTGATAATGAATATCACTGAACTAGCAGAAAAGGAGGTAAGGGTGTCATTTTCATGATCTGTGTAATGTAAAATGTTTCTTCAGTGAATAAAAAATTAGGGGATTTGTAGTCGGATCAGCAGATGAGGATGGAAAATAGTAAATAGTAAAAATGGTATTTTTATAAATTATAGAGAAGTGGAGGGTGATAGAGATTATTACAGACATTTCTTGGCATCCTCAGGTAAAATATGCTTTATTCATAATCTAGTAACTGCTACAACTGTTTATGAATTTGTGAATCTTCCAGAGAAGGGATGAAATTTCGAAGCCTCAGCGAAATAACTTCCAGACTACATATTTTAAAGATGGTAAAAGGAAAATTGATTACGTTCTGACTTATGAATGTAGTGAGATGGATGGTGAAGAAGAATCGAGTAGTATAAACGATGTAGAAGATGTAAGCAGTGCTTTAAAATTAAATATATTTGTTAATGGTTTGTTACTCACTCTCGATTTCATTTTGTTAGGCGGGATTCTTCCAATTTTAGCTTACTGATATTTTAAAACTTACAGCTTGCTACACAATTCCGCAAGCATGCTATCAGTTGTAGTTATATCATACTGGACCGACAATACGGTACTATATGGGCCAAAATAATGAGCATATTTTCTCGAGAAGCTATCAGAATTTCTGCAAATACCAGTTTCAAAAGCCATCTTACATGGTATTGTTATAGAGCGCTCATGCAAGATCAAGAGAGGAGAAAAAAGTAAATAAACGCTTACAGTACGAGGCGAATTTAAGGGAGCTAGGATTGGAATTAGAGCATGTTGAAGGAAAGGTATGGTTTTTACAATTTGTCCCTTATTTCTAAGTTTCGAACATTTACGGCGTATTTTCGGAAAGATTTCATATCACATTTTTTTTATTTGCATTTTTCAGTACTTAGTTTGAGGTTGAAAATGAATCTGAACTTCTAATTAATGAGGAATGTCAAGTTTCATTTACTGGAAAATTTCTACGCAAATGGAGAATTTTTCGATGTAAAATAGGGAAACAGCTACTTATAAAAAGTGATTCATATAAATTCATTCAGTTTTTGAAACATGTGGTTTTCAGTATTGCAAAAGGACTCACTTTGTATTAGTTCATGCACCATTTTTGCTGCTAATGAAACAAGCTGAAAGTCTTTGTTTGAAAATGCCAGTATTGCAAAGCGATGTGAAAGTTAGTTGATTTTTGCGATGTGAAAATGAATTATAATGTTCAGTTATAAAATTATTTTATTATTTAAAATTAACATTATTGGGACCTTATTTTTGTCTCAAGCAATATAGTTTTATTGAAAAGGTACAGATGATATTCACATGTTTCCTTGCCGTTTCCTTATAGCTTAAATCTACAGGAGTTAGTAATATCAAGAAGTTTTAAATATATTTTCCCATAAACTATTTTTTAAAACGCCAGATTTATGACATTGAGGAATTTTTTCTTGTCAATGAAATACTTATTTACATTGAATTTGCAAAATATTAGTTTCTTTATTTCAGGAACGAACCGTTTTGGAAGGCATATTGGACAAATTTATGAAAAGATTTCGTTTTTTAACATTTGATGAGAAGACAAATGAACGTTTAAAAGAACCAAATTATTTTACAGCTCCCTTTGTGGCTGCCCATTTGGAATGGTATTTTTATTTGTTTTTTATTTAAAATCTCTACTTTTAGACATTGATGTATAAGAAGAATCAAGATAAGTAAATAAATTTATATGTGATTCAGTAGGAAAAGGCTTTATTTTCGTAATCCATATAATTAGCTCTTTCTTGGTATGTGTGAACTGTAGGATTTATTTGTGTAATATTCTATAGTTATGTTGGTCACGAAAATCCGGACACATTTTTTGACGACTCAGAACGAAGTCGGTTAGTGTATGATTTATTAATTCGAACTAGGTACGACACACATGAAGCTGAAAAGTATCGCGTTGGCATACAACGTTTGATCAAGAATAATACATATACATCAGCTTTTCCATTGCATGAGGTAAATTTTGATTATTCAGGACACTTTTAAATATTCAGGTGCAAACTTTTATAACCTATTATTTGGACAGAAATGTTTGGTTGGTTGGATGGTTTGATGCTTTTTATAATTCAGTTTATGTTTTATTTTTTTATGTATGTTTTATTTGGCAATAATTTTTTGTCATTTTTATTCTAGGACTGTGGTTGGAATGAATATAGTGTTGATAAAAGCACTGATCGTGAATTTTTATACTGGAACTGGGCTCGTATTACAAACATTTATAAATATCAGCCACTTTCTTTAATAAAGTATGTCATTGTTCTTTTCTCCATCTCATTCCGTCTTAGGATTTCCATATCAAAATTATGCTCAATTCTCATTGTTTTGATTCAAGAACGGAAATTGGATTAATGCATTTTATAAATTGAAATCGATTTCAACTGAAGTTTCCTTTTATTGCTACTGACGTCAGAATTAGTTTTCTCATTTGAAATCAAATCTAATAATTCTTTTCTCCATCTCATTCCGTTTTAGGATTTCCATAGGCAAAACCGAAATTATGCTCAACTCTCATTGTCTTGATTCAAGAACGGAAATTGGATTAATGCATTTTATAAATCGAAATCGATTTTAAATGAAATTCGTTTTTATTACTGCTAGCGTCAGAATTAATTTCGTATACGGTGTTTTAATCATTCACTAGAAATCAGATTTAATAATAAACATTATCGGTGTAGAGTTGATCTTTGGTGGTTATAGGATGGGATTTGCTTTGCTTTGGAAGTTTGACAACAGGATTTGTTAGATTAATGTTTGTAGGAAATATTTCGGCTCAAAAGTTGGATGGTATTTTGCTTGGTTAGGTTATTATACGAAAATTTTAGTACTTGCTTCTATTATCGGCATTTTATGTTTTACTTATGGAATATTAACGATTTCAGAGGATATACCGAGGTTTATTTTTATTTCTGTTTAAATTCGGATTTGTTTTTATTCATTTTTACACACACACGTCGATCTTTTCCACCAAATTTTCAAAATTTGGGCAAAGTAGAACACTTATTGAGATCTTTCTTATACAGGTAGCATTTTAAACTTAGATCTTATTTTTTTATAATTGTTTGTAAGTGGTGGCATTCCTAAAGTTTTATTTGATAGGATAATTAATTTGATGATTAGACTTACTAGAAATTGAGGAAATTATAGGCAGTTAAAAATGAAGAGCAAAATTTGGCGACAGGTCTAGCAATTTTATATTTTTGAGATGAGTTTTAGAGCATTTTCCATTGATTAAAGAACTTTTTGCATTTTAAGTGAATTGCAAATTTGAGTCCTAAGATTTAGGGTTTCTTGGATTTTGAATCTACACTGTGCTGTTTCAGTAACGACATTTGTGGTAGTGATGGAATCGGTGCTGAAGTAATATTATGTCCAACGTGTGACAAGTATTGTGATTACACTCGACTTAATTCTAGCTGTATATACTCAAAGGTGTTGTCTAAGTGCTTGTGATTATTTTACAGTGAAATTAAAAAATTTTTCCGAAGCAAGCTACTGAATCAAGCAGGGCATTCTTTGCTATTTCTTTCAATTCCTGCTTATATTTTTTACCTTGCTTTTTTCAGTATTATGTGCTTTTTTTGTGTCTTCATTTTACTATTAAAATATAGTTGATGACTTAGACGATCCTTTTTTACTTTATACATTTATTTGTAACTTATTGAGTTGCAGCTGTCATATGTGTTTGATAATACGTCGACTGTTATATTTGCTGCCTTGATGAGTGTATTTGCAACGCTGTTTCTGGAAGGTTGGAAAAGATATCACGCTGAAGTGGCCTGGAAATGGGGCTTGCTTGATTTTGAAGTTGATGAGGTTTTCCACTTTTTTTTCTTTGAAGATTATAATAAATGTTTCTAGTAAAAATTTATATTCAGATTCTCTATAATTCGCTCAAAACGCATTAATAAACTGTAGAATAAGTAGTAGTAAACATCATTCTTATAATCATTCTAGTAAACGCTATACTGCTGCAAAGTTTCTCTCTATTAAAATTTGTTTCTTTTTTTTTCTTTTCTTTAATGCATTAAGTCCTATTTCTTTTTTCTTAATAAGAATCGTTGGCTGAATGTATTATGTTTACAAGCACCATTAGTTCCATCGTTTTTGAACACAGAAGTTTTTAAACTTTTCGTGATTAAATGAATTATTTACTTCAGGAAACAGTTAGGCCTGAATACCAGTTACGTGTTAAAAGAGCGAAAACAATGCGAATAAATCCGGTTACGCAAGAACTGGAACCTTATCTAGCATTCAGTTATAGATTTCTGCATTTAATTGGATCCGGTGTAACTGTTCTGTTCTTTGTGAGTTTCTTTTTTGGTAATCAGTTAATATAATTTAACTTTTTCATTTAATAAGGACATGCTGAAATGCGACGAGAATTTTTTTGTTAGCAGTTGAGTCAACAGCCTAGTTTTTTTGTTTTATTCTGTATCATTGTTGTTGTTGTTGCCTATGAATAATGTGAAAGACGATGCGATGATTCTTTTTTTCAATTACTTTTAAAACTGCTTCGATTATTTGTGTTTTCTGCAGCTGTTTCTCGTGATAGCATTCGTTATTGGTATTATAATTTATCGAATCGTATTCTCTCAGGTTCTTTATCGAGTGGATAAAATGAAACCATATGCAAATCTTCTCACATTCACTACTGCTGCCACACTGAATTTAGCTATTATTTTAGCAATGAGCTATGTATGTTTGAAAATTTTTTTAATTTATTCAAGATTGCTGAAAATAACCTGCTTTTGTAGTTGTTTTCTGCCGATGCCTGCGATTCAACACGACAAAACTCACCTAACTCGGACACCATATGGATGACAGATTGAGAGCTCTTTAATGATTTGGTGTTTGGTAGTGCGTGGCCATTCTTAGTCGGTGGAGTGATTTGTCTGGTTTAATCTAATAGCGAGAAATACTGTAGCCTACTAAATAGTTATTGGATTTTTATCTAGACAGTTGCAGGCTAAGGGAATATTATATTAACAGAAGATATTAACGTCCAACAAAGTAGGTTTCTAAATTTTCGAATGGTACTCCTGGGTTTGTTTTTTAACCATGAAACTAGCTTAGAGAAGTTAACATCATGAGAAGAGAACGATCACAAAAATTACCCAAATTAGAGGGAAACTAAGGTACCACTTACTTCTACTATTTCACCTGCGATTCCATTTGCTTTTAGCTTTATTCATATCTGGCGCTGAAATTAACAGATTGGGAATGTCCAAGGACGCAACTTGAATTCGATAATAGTTACACGTTTAAAGTTTATTTATTCCAGTTTATCAACTACTACTCGTCCATCTTTTACATTGCTTTTGTAAAGGGCAAGTATGTTTTAAAATTTTTGGATTTAAATTTGATGATCAATAATTATATAACGAAATCAATATTGCATAAGTACTGCTAATCTTTCTGTATGATGTGATGCTACTATCTTTTTCCATTTAATTTAGTGGCGGTTTGTTCATCTATTCATTTTTATGAGCGAATGATTTATGGACTGTATTTGAAATCATTTTTGATTGAAAATATGCTCTGATTAAATTGAGGCTGTTTCTGAATTCATTTTCCAGCCACCGTATCTCTTTTGTATTACTTTCATCGAGGATAACTAGCCATCGCTGTAATGACATTTTGGACAGCCATTTCTACCATTTCTGCTCAGTTTCACGACGTTCGTAACGTGATCTATTTGCCTTTTACAATAGTAAATAAACAAATTACCTTAATTCTAATTTTTAAGTTGATTTTTTTCTCACTGCAATGTTTGGTGATTATTTAGAAGTTTGAGACTTATCATTCACTTCAATTCAATATACACTTCACTTTGTTTTGTTATGTATTTTTGCCAATCTCGATTCTTAGATTACTCTTTTCAAGACATCACCGCTTATGCTTAACAACACGCTGACACTGGAACTTTAGTTTTGTTTTCATAGCTGGATAATTTTTCAATATATTTCTTATTTTTTTATGAGGCATTATATTTCGGAGTTAAAGATATCATGCATGTCAATCTTCTGTCAGATATGCTTTGGTCAGCAACAAACCTTAATTGTATTCATGCGGAAAAATAACAAACAGTTTTCCGGTTCATCTTCTAATTGATCAATTCCAGGTTAACGGTATTCTCTTGATTCTCATGCTGATAATGGTGTAAAATCAGCAAATTAAGAATGTGCAATCGATTTCAACAAGCATTTTATAAGTGGATTTCTTTAGTTTGTCGAGCGTACCTGGACGACATTATTTTGGTCTCCGACCAGAAGAATGCGATCCAGCTGGTTGTATGGTTGAGCTTGTAATACAATTGGCAATCATCATGTGCGGTAAACAATTCTGGAATGGTTTTGTGGAATTTGCATGGCCGTAAGCAACATTTCTCGGATTCTATTATCACTTTCTTTAGAAATGAAAACTTTACTATCCATCAAATGATTATTGATTTTGAAAGTTAGTTTTTAGAGTACTTATGACTTGGTTCCGGTCGCTGCGGTTATTAGAAACCAAAAAGCAACGAGACGAAAGAACAAAACATGAACTAGCCAATCGAATGGCTAGATGGGAGCAAGATTATGTACTCAATCCTACATATGAACAATTCTTATTTGACGAATATTTGGAAATGGGTCGGTCAAAGTAATTTCGATGTTTATATTCTGGTTTCTTTTAGATATCAGACGGTGTGAAAGTTTTGTAAACAGAAAGCATAGTGATTGCTCTACTATTAGTTTATCTCTTATCAATGTCTAATCCATAAGTTCTCAAGATTAAATTCTTTTAACATACATATATCTTTTTCAAGAATCTCTGAATCATAGCTTTCTCTTTCAAAATACTCACTGTTGAACGCTGTAGTATAGGTAGTTTTTTTTTTTTTTTAAACTCTTAGGTTCATAGAATTTCAAAAGATATTCTCTTCAATCCTTATTTGTGTGCCTTTTACTGAATTATTCATGATAAAATGAACAGCAACAGCTTTCCTCAATACTTTTTTCATGAAAAGAAACCTTTTTTCAGTGATACAATTTGGCTTTGTAACTCTTTTTGTGTCAGCATTTCCACTTGCTCCACTTTTTGCTTTGGTAAATAATATTCTTGAAATTCGAGTCGATGCATACAAATACGTCGTTGCTACTCGACGTCCTATACCGGAGCGAGCACGTGATATTGGTATCTGGTTGCCTATCTTAAGCATGATTAGCAGAGCAGCAGTTCTCGTTAACGTTAGTTTCATTTTCATTTTCAGCAAAGATCTCAATCTCACTCTAAATTAGTAGAAAAATATTGTTCATTTGAAAAATTGATACCTTGTTCAATTGATTTGCATGAAAGATATTTGAATAAAGTAATAAATGAACTGATTGAACAATCAATCGCTTTTTATATTATGCAATGTAATTTTCTATTTAAAGGCTTGCATCATAGCATTTACAAGCGATTTCATACCCCGTTTTGTTTATCGATTTGTGTATATGCATGATGAATTGTATGGATACGTGAATAACTCACTCTCCTTTTATGATTCATCTGAAATTTTTGTCAAATGGAGCGAATTCAAGAATGATAACATAACTGTTTGTAGGTTGGTTTATAAAATTAGATAGCACTTCTTTTTATAATTCAAATTTTACATTAATTTTAAAAGATATGAGTTTGTATAGTTATTTTTGAACAGTCCGAAATAAAATGTAACTAATATACTTCATTTTGCTTCAGAAAAGTTTTTGTTTTAATGGTACAAGGATGTTACTACCATAGGCTTGATGAATATATGGTATAAATAAGGAAAATGATCCTTTTTATATCTCACTGACACTTTTATTTGTTTTTGTATAGAAGCTATAGAATTTCGTTATTCGTCAGGTTCCGTGACTACAGAAAACCACCATGTACAATCGATCCGTTAGCAAACTGTGACAATGATTATGGTTTCACAATGCAGTGGTGGATTGTTTTTACTTTTCGCTTGGCATTTGTCCTTATTTTCGAAGCAAGTTGTTTATTTTGTGCAACAAATTACTTTATAATTATAATAACTTACCTTGATTTGAGTCAAAATATATGTTTCGAAACAGAATAACTTTGAAATGAAGGTTACAAAGATGGCTACTAACATCAGTAATTATTATAGCAAAAATTCGTAATGATGACATTAATGTTTCGTCCTCCATGTTTTAGGAAAAAATCTGGTTCATTTTCATTTGATGTTTCATTATTATTTAGCAATGTAAGTTAATAGTAAATGTAAATTAACTCTATATTCTTGATACAAGCATTTATTTATCATTGACAATGAAGTTAGGAATATTTTTGAATCGATTTATTTGAAGGATACTCTATTATGTTTATTTATAATAGCAGCTTTGTCGGACTATTTATAGAACTCCCTCAAATAATAGCATAATTGGGGTAGTGAAAATATGACAATGTTGTCAAAAGCATGGCGTAGAAGTGGGGAAACCAATAATACATCTGTAAAATTGTTGGTTATTAATTATTTTAAAGATTTTTAACGTTCTTTTTGGCATTTTTTTTTTCTTTATAGCTTAATTCCTTTGCTGGGGTGTCGTATTTTAAGTTTTTCAAAACCACTGCATTGACAGCTATCCATTTAAAGTTTTTTCATAGCAATTCATGACATTCAGTATGAAACTGATGTGACTTTTAGTTTAATGGACTTTTTAGATATGACTGAGTTCGATTCATTTGCTTCACATCTGTATTATTTATGAATATATTTTTTTAAGCATTTAGTGGCATTGGTTAAAGCTATGGTTGCTTATGTGATACCCGATATTCCAGCGAATATTTTCATTCAACTACAACGACAGCGTTTCCTCGCACGACAGGCTCGAATTTCAGATATTACTTCAGGAGTCAGCGCCCGAAATGGTTCAGAGAACGGCCAAGATAATACAGAAAAAAAGTATATATATATATGATCTTGATTTATTTCATTTGTGAAATAGTTTTTATACAAATTGTGCGACGAAAATTTTTCTCAACACAGTTACGAGCATTATTTTTTCCGATGAATTATTGCTGATTTAAATATTTTCAGTCAGGTGGACTCTGCTCAAAACGAGCTCGTTTTCCAGCCGGGACAATTCAGAAATGAGCAAGCATCGATTGAACTAGAAAAGGTTATGAGAGAAGATTTTAATAGGCGAGCGCACTCTCTTCTCTCGCTTCGAAGTCATGGCAGTGGTAGTTTTCATACATGTCAAGATTCGGTAGATTCAGATGGGCCTTATATGTAACTTTACTTGACGAAAATACTGTTTTTCATTTGCCTTTTGAGAAGTGTTACTTTCTTTTTAGCAAAAAACATCGTTTTTCAAATTAAGGAAATAAGTTTTATAGATTATTAAAGGCTATGAAAGGAAATTTTAGAGCTTGCTAATGTTTTTTTTTTTTTTCACCTAACAAGAAAATGGGAGTGAATAGCTTACACGTCTTCATCTCTCAGTATTGCTTTTTAAATATATAATGTTGATGTATTTTGTATTGATATTGTTATTTGTTTTTCATATTTTTGTTGTGTTGTTCTGCCCACTTTGTTGTCCTTCAGATGTACTTTTCTTTCCCTCTCTGTTTACTGTCATCCATAACTCAGTACTCTCGTGACAACAACTTTAGCATCTTTTCATTTTTCATATCATTTCATTCACATATATAAATATATCATTAATTCGTGGTGTTAGTTTTATAATTTTCATTATCATTTTTTGTGACTTGTGGTATCATTTCTTCACTGCTAAATTTCAGCCTTAAATTTTCTTTTTTCTATGTTGGTGATTTTGTTCAGATTATCATGCCTTAACATATTTGTTGTGGCTTTTAGCCACAACAAAATCACTTTTAGATTAATTGTATTCAGCAGTAAGTAATTGTTTCTTTAATTTCTAATTGTCGTTTCTATTTGGCAATAACTTATGTTTTTGTCACGCTTCTATATATTTGTTATTTATTGAAATATAAATACACTAAAAGCTTATCTCTTGCATTTAAAGTGATTTTTTAACTCGGAATTTTTTAAATTCCTTTTAAACTGGATTATTGATTTAGGGGCTTATTGTATATGTTACTTTTATTGATAAAAATTTGTAATGATTGTTAGGTTTGGAGAGATATTCTATGATCATTTTATGTTTGAATGATGGATTGTTGAGAACTTAACATTTTTGTTTAGAATTCAAGTTACGTCGAATGGTCACACATTTCAGGTATTCATAATATGCAAAATAATTTGATTGATGATGTTATTATCAAAGACGTATCAAATGATCATGAGTTATCACTTGGTCTTTGGATGTTTTGCTACTCATGTAAGCAGCAATTGTTCGTTTAATCACTAATTTAAACACTTAGATTCTTCAATATTAGTTTATTTCATAAATTATGCTGGTGGATTGATACTTTGCTTAATGGGCGAACTGGAGTAGCTGAGGCTTTCCATCATTATCAGTGATATCAAAGTTCGTTTTATTACTGATCGCTACAGAGGGGATCAATTTATCTCGATCTTCGTTCTCCATCGTAATGCACAGCTACATTAGAATTTTTTTTTTTCTCTCTTAAAATTAACAATAAATAAATGCGCAGTGAATTCACATCTAAAAATTCTAAAATTTCAAAATTTCAGTGTTCAGCATTTGCTATAAGTGTAGCTGCTGGTTATGAATGTTGCATCTGTATTTCATCTTGAAGAGAAGCTAAAATATATTAAAATGCTCAAAAGTTTATGTGAAAATTGGAATGAAGTTGTAGAATATCTGCGGTAAGATAGATTTGCGTGTCGAATTGATTATTACTTCTCAATTAATAATTAACCTAAATTGATTAGCCACAATAATCAATCAATCAATTAATCAGTGATAACATTTTAGAATTTGTTTACATGTGAGTACAATGACTGAATTAAACTTATGTTTACATTCTTATTGGTTAGCCATGTAATTGTATCAAAATTATATCGAAATTTGCCGTACTTTTTTAAAATAATTTTCTAAAGTGATTATTTTCAAAAATCCAGAAAAATTTTATTCAAATAAATCAATATTGTATATCGCTTCTATAATTGATTCCGGTCTTTTTTTTTTTAACTTTATTTATCCTTTACTCGTATTGTGATTGAGCAGTTTTGTAATCTAATTTATTTTGAACTTAATTGAAACTGTTCGAATGATATTACATTAACCTTATTCTTGTCCACAATCCCTTTAAATCTTATGTCATTAACTGGATTATACTGTATAAAGATAGTAATACTATGCAGAATATTTTGCTTGAAAAATTATGCTTACCAATTGATTAATTAATTAGTTAATTTTATTATGAAATAAATTTGGTTGAAGAAATTTGGCTATAAATGATATCAGTTACTGTATAAATGACACACATAGAAAGATAAGTTAATTTTAATCTCACCTGTAATTAGACATCAAAGATTTTAACTGTATGGAATTTAAAGCTGAGAAGACTATCAGAGAAAAAATGAAATTGAATAAAGAGTTCAACGTTTAACGTATTGCTTGACCTTTATGATTTACATTTTCTTCGATTAGCAAGCATTATTAATATCTACAATCATTGAGTAATTTATAATAGGCTATTAATAGTATAAGTGGATGTGAACGTACATCACGTTAAACGAAACGTGCTATAGTGTAGTGGAACGTATTTTCTACGTTACACGTACTATAATTTACGTGTTGTGTAATAGCCATTCAAAGTGATATCTTTTACGCATTAAATGAGTGAGAAAAATTGAGCATTCTCTATTGGTGTAGTTATTTGAAATGCTTACACAATAACAATAATTGAAGAAGTATCAAATTGCTGATTTATCGTGTTTCATTGAAGATTTCTGAAGTTTTGAGAGGACCGACATATCAACGTCAAGTGTCACCTCTTCTCTTTGTCTGTCTACACATCTATACATATGCATATATCTTGATATTTAGGTAGATAGATAAATAAATAAATAAATACACTTATAGATTTTGTGACAATTGATGATTTAAACGGCTTGAGCCACTTCAGTCACACCACGTATCCATTTGCTTACCTTTCCCTTCTTTGTTTTATTAGTATCTGTAATACTTATCAAACATAAATTACTGTTTATGAAGAATGATTAAATATCTTCTAAAAAAAAAAAGGTGTGAACCAGCATGATATGTTTACTCTAGTGACAAAGAGAGATATGTAAACAATAGTATTTGCTTTCAGAATATCTTTCGGATTATCTATATTCACAAATATCACCAAAATGAAAATTTAATTTAATCATGTCATGTCATACATACTTCTCAACCACTTCATTCATTTCTGAACGACTGTTAGCTTATTAGCTCAAATAAATTAGACATAAAGGAATAAATTAGATTATTTGGCGTTATCTAATTCGTCAATTTAACAAAAACAACTGCACTCAACTTAGTTACATTTCTACATTACATTTTCACTTTATGTCAAAGTATTTCAACAAACCTACTACTGAAGATTTAGCAGATAGCTTGAATGGAGTAGATTTATTTCACGTTTCAAAATGTCAGTAGACGTGTGTACGTGGAAGCTCTTTCTTTAGTTGAGTATTAATTATTGCAAAAAAAGTGAAAATCCTTACCAAACGTTTCATTATAACTGAAAATTCATTAATGATTCGTCTTGTTACTATTTGTTGACAAATAAATTAGCTCAAATTTTGACCTCTCACTTAGAATCATAATAATTTATCAATTTACCTTTAAACATATAAGAAACTAAATCAAAAAAATTGTCAATACATAGCTAAAAATTAGACATTATACTAAAATTAAAATTTGATAATTGATAGATAACATTTCAGATAGATAAGTGATAAAATCAAACTTCTAATAATTAATTGCTAACAATAATTGTATGTAATAATCTTAAAAAGTTAATTTTCTATAAGCACCACAATTACTGTGTCACAATATTTGTTGACAGAGAGTTTCCGTCTTTTCGATCTACAGGTGTAACCGGTATCTATTGTTCAATTTTCTATATTCTATTGATATGATCGAGTCAGTTACTTACTTAGTCAGTCAATCACTACGATCGTCTATTTTCCATACAAACTTCCTTTTCGTGTATGTGTGTATGTATGTATGTGTGTGTGTGTGTGTGTGTGTGTGTATGTGTGTCGTCCGGCTTATTATCTTCAGAACCAGCAATCGGAGCACTTTCCACAATTAATAATAGCAAAAGTATTTTCAAACTTGGGCTGAGTGCTGATTCTATTGCATTTCAATGCAGCGATTTAGCAGAAATTTACTGATGAATTCCCTTATTCATCGTGGAAATTTTACGTAAATAATAAAACGACAATATTTTGCTGATGATAATGATAATGATGATGATGATAATAACGAAGATGATGATAGTGATGATGATAATGATGATGATGATAGTGATGATGATAATAATGAAGATGATGATAATGATGATGATAATAACGAAGATGATGATAGTGATGATGATAATGATGAAGATGATGATAGTGATGATGATAATGATGAAGATGATGATAGTGATGATGATAATGATGAAGATGCTGATAGTGATGATGATAATAATGAAGATGCTGATAGTGATGATGATAATGATGAAGGTAATGATAAGAAAGTAACAAAGAACAACTATGCTTATTTATAATTGTTTTTCTTTCTAGTTTTTATAGTCATTTTAGAAAATGAGCCAGAAGTATAAAGACTAGGAAGCTAAATATGCTTCATACAAAATATTTTGCATAAAAATTTTTTCTCGAAATATTTTCATTTTTATTTCTTTTGAAATATTATTACCTCCAAATGGAAAATCTTCATTTTTTAAAATAAAAATATATGGATCAATGGAGTAGTTTTTAAATTTCAAATTTCAAGTAGTTCTCAAATAAACTGAGCAGTTTTTTTTTTTTTTTGTTGACTTTGTGAATAAAAATTGTTCTTTGATCTTCTGAAAAAGACCGATTGCAAAAATCATATTTCATTGATTTATTTTAATCATATTTTTTTACTCAAAAAAAAAAAAAAAAAACTTTTTTTTATCCAAATTATACAACAATTAATATTCTACTATTCTTTTTCTTTAATGAATTAACTTATTAACTCATCCATTTTCTGCGGTCTTATTTTAATTTTTATATAAGTATTTTATATAATTATTACCTCTATCACATGCTTCTTTCAATTTGAGCAGAAATAAAATTGTAATTTGAATATTTTGGGTTTGAATGAATTTTGAATATTTTTCAAGCCATTTATTACAGTTAGCACTTTTTATGTTAAAAAGAGGAAGAAATTTTAAGAAAAACTATTCACTCATATATTATATATATTTGGATTCTCAAAGCTATGTGATTCCTGAAATTAACCTGAAATAGTGATTTTTTATTTTTTCGCTTAAAACATATTTATGTAAAAATTTTCAGGAATAAAAATTTTTAAATTAATTAATAAATGATAGTAAATGAAAATGAACAAATGAAAAAGTAAATGAAGGCAATAATGGAAAGATGGAAGAAATTTGCAAACTGAACCTATTGCCAGGATATAGTTAATTAATATTTTGATGACACATCAAATTCAGGATGGGTGACAAATGTATAAGTCATTGTGCGTTGAGAGAGTGATGCTAATCGTTTTATGAAAAATTCATCACTCTAACAGCAGGTACAACAATATGGCACGAAGCATTTTAGCTTTTCAGTCAGTCAATTGGAGGAGAGCAGACTAGCCACTGTCCTGTTGTGGTCAACCGAAATGACCGTTAGGCTAAGCTCTAATCTAAGGATTGGTTTAGCAGCCACCCATTCATTGCATCATCATTCTCTCTATCCTTCATGAACAATGCATTCATGATCAGCTTATTTCACTCCCTAAAGTCAATTACCTCAACAGACACACACACACATATATATACACACACATATACACATACACATACACATACACACACACACACACACACACACATGCACGACATTTACCAATTTATTATGACCACAACAATTAAACTAATCTCGAATAGGTATCCTCAATTATGACTCATTTGGTTTATTCTAGACAAGTCGAAACCATCGCTGCTAATTTCAGGGCAAATTATTATGGAGAGAATGCATTTTTAGTGAGTGTATTTGGAATTCAACAAATATCTTCAAATCATTTCTTCAGAAAGTTTTCAATTAACCATTTAAAAAGGTAAACAAGAATATCAATTTTTGTTTACCAACTTAGAATGATCCATCCCGTATAGAAGTATTTTCATATGACAACAAATTCTTGCAAAAAATCAAAAATGTTTCAGTAAAGAAATAAAATGATGCAATATACTGCTAAATCATTCATTACTTATTTCAATGTAACTTTATCGATTACTTTCACTTTCTTCTTTAAATCGCTAAACATTTCATTTGTTTTCCATTTCAGTGGTCACTCTCAATTGACCATTACATCTCTGTTAAATGTAATCATAACATTATGAAAGATGCATAAATAACATACAGTAAGGTATGATGAGAGAGAGAGAGAGATGAAAATTGAAAAAAGGGTGTTTAAGTGGAAATAATTTGATTGCTGCAAGGAGACTTCATTTTACTTAAGCTTATTTGGATTACTTTCAACATCATTTTCTCCTTCATCAATTTACACATATTTAAACGTCACAAATACCGTAGTCCAATGATAGAAAAATGAAAGGTCCACTATATAACCACCCACACACACACATACACACATGCATATATACAAGGTGATAAGGTAGATAGATAAATGGAGAAGAAAAGGAGGAAAGAAAGATGGAGAATGATGGAGAGTCTACCGGATGCGCTGATGTCTGAGAATGGCGGTGGAAAGTAAGGAAGAAGCAGCAGCAGCCGCATAGAACTCACCGCTGATGCCATCCGCAGGCGGAGTTGGGCAGATGAGATGGATAGGCAAACCTCGACTGCTCCTCTCTTCCACCTCCGCCCCTCTATCTACCTGCCTAACGATAGGATGAGCCTCATTGCACTCACTTCACTTACCAATTGCGCCATATCGAGTAGTCGTGATCGACTCTCCCACGTATCATCATCGTTGTCTATCTATTTCTCGCTCTTCTCCAACGCTTTATTGTCATAACCTCACTTACAGTATGCCATGAATGATTTGAATTTATGATGTTAAAGTGGAAGAATTGTCACCTCTTCAGGTCACATATATTTAATTACTAAAATTTTCCTTCCAAAATAAAAGTGTGGTTGTGAATTTTTTAAGCAAATGATTTGCTTTTGCTTTCATATATTTTAATACTTGTCTTCTTTATCCAATCGAATGTCACAAGCTAACCCTTGAACTTTCTTCAACATATCATTATAGTTTGGCTTTTAAATTAACTAAAGTAAATTTCTCTCCTTGACATAGATGTGTTTCAGTGTTGTCTCGAGATGCTTTATCATTTCACAATTTTAATTGTGTCAAATTTGTTAATCCTTTGTTGTCATTTGCTTCCTTCAATATACATTCTGAACTTTAGAGGACTTTAATTACGAAGAATCATTATCATTACTTTTTACAGAATCATAATAAATAGAACTCATTAGGTTGCCAGCAACAAGAATTTGGTAATTTTATAAATGTTAAATTAATGTATTTTCTAATTTCCAAACTGAAAAAAATTCAAAAGAATTATAGTTCCATATGCCTTGGATTTTTGTAAGATTTTTGCCGTGTCGCATACATAATTTCTTTTTTTTTTCTTTGTTGATCATAAATTCAGTTTTTTTACAGCAGTTATCAAGAAATGAGTTTGGATGCGAATTTTTTGCGATTAGTAGAAGTTCGACAGAATGATGATCACACAAGTTCATTGTGGACAAGAGGAAAACTTGAGTCTGGTTTACTGATTGGTGTCCTTGATAAGGTTATTTTTTAGGCCTTAACATTTTCATCCATTTATATTCTATTCAAATTACAATACTTTTTAGTAATGCATCCATTGATTAGTCTGCTGATCTTTTCCTATCAATCAAGTAGGTATGTGATCAGTTAAAGCTGATATGATCAGTAAACAAGATGTCATTTAATGAATTAAGAATCGATTGATGGATTTTAAAGCATTCATAATGATATGATAAGCGCACAATGATAACATTCTTCAATTGAAAAATTTATTGAGTAGCATCAAATGTAAACAAACAGTAATGGATCTATACTCTAACCTATAACATTGCTTAATTGTCATCTTGAATCTTAAAACCAGTTTTAAATAACATTTTAATATGCATCCATCACAAACAACATTTTCAGTCACATCAACAAATAGAAATTTATTTTACTTACCATAAATGCCTCAAAACCTAACAATACCTTAGTCCTCTGCATACTTATCAATATTTTCAGATGTAATATTAGATATTTATAAATTATTTAACATAAATTCCAATCTTAAACTACACTAAAATTCCAAAGTTTTAATCAATTTTAAGTATACTAACTTAATAATTTGCATGTCAACCAACTTTGACCTTCAGTGATTTTTTTTCAAAATGTCCCTTCTTTCTTAACAGATCATCTATTCTTCAAACTCAAAAAAAAAAAAAAAAAAAACTAATTAATTGACCTCAATAATTAAAGTGATATTCTCGAATAGATTATGCAAATTTCCTTTTTTTTTTTTACCAAATATCCAGAATTATCTATAGAAATATGAAAAAAAAAAAAAAAAAATTTTTCATAATCAATCAGTAATGGAATGCGTAATATAGCAGCTGTTTACCACCCACACCGTTTTTAGATTTCGTTCCGCATTCCGAGGTGCTTCGACGGGTACGAAAAGATTTACCCAAAGCATCCTTCTTTCCTCTCTCGCTGTGTTCCTCATTACTCATTTGAGAACGAACCCATATTTTACTATTGTTATGATGTATTAACATGCATAAATTATAATACTACTGCTGTTGCTGATACTTACTGAAAAAGACCACCCATAGGAATGATCCTCTCTTCCTGTACCACCCACCACTACTTCCCGAGAAGAAGAAATTAAATTCACTCGGTTATTAGAAATAAAAGAACGAATGAATTAAATGCAACAATCATCGCTTTCTATTTTATCAGATCAAATTTTTTTTTCTTTTTTTTTTTGTAATTATCTCGGATACGATAAGATAATTATTCGTAATCAGTTGAATTCTTGTTTTCATCGTGATAAGCATATTCATTTTATGGAAAAGAATAAAATATTTATCAATACTATCAATGATTTATCAATGCTATTCAATGGAGCATTCATTATATTTGAAAAAATAGCGAAATTTTCACATCTCTAACAAGAATGAATGATTGATCATTTATTTTGTTTATCTCTTTTTGATAAGAAAAAATTTGATAAGAACTTTTAACTTATAAATTATATTTTAACTTGCAAACTATCAAAACCTTAAGATGTATATATATATATATATATATATATATATATATATATATATATATATATATTTCAAAGTATAAAAGATCCATACTCTTTCTATACCATCCAATAAAGCTAAAAATTTTTTCAATAAATCAAGTCTTTTAATTTTGCCCAATATGAAATCTTCTACATTTCAAATTTATGCTTTAAATCTTACTGTTATTTTAAATATTTACGAAGTGATAGGTTTAAAGTTAAGCAAAAATTCAACTAAACTTTAACATAAAGTAAAACTCATAGAGTAATCGTATTTTAATATCATCATATAATTTCTACATGCAAAGTTTCAAACAAGATATCACAAATATTGAAATTACCTTTCCATCATGGACTTTTCCATTGACTACCCAATTGCATAGAATTTCTTAAAAAGTCATACAAAATTGCGCACTTTGCAAGCTACAATTTATTTTTTCCGGATATGCTGCAATTCCAATAATTGGTATATAACATGGGAAATTGAGGTATAATCTGCTTGCTACCATTTAGTGCTCCTTGCAAATCAATCAACCATTCACTAATTGCGCACACATCCTTGGCATCTTTTCGGGATTTAAGTGGAATTCAGAGGAAAATTATTTGTAATGATAAGCTAAGCTTTATGCAAATAAGTCTCTCTTATTTCATTAAACTTTTTTTTTTTTTTTTTTTTTTGCAAGAAAGAAAACATGAAATTGCCAAGGTATTAAGTCAAAAAAAAAAAAGGTTAAGCTATTGAGTTCTACCCATCTAGTAATTTCTTAAACTAATTACATGATTTTTATTTAAACAATTAAATTCTTGATAAATATCCGATTTAGACGATTACCGCCAGTTTACGGTATATATTTTTCCTTATAGACTTTGCATTAGTTGTTAATTTTCAAATTAAAATATACATAAAAATTGTGAACATTAGCTGCAAATTGTGTAATGATAGCTTAGACGCATATAATTGCTGTTTATTCATTTTCAAGTATTGATGTGTTAATGATAAAAAGATAGATTCATATGGATACGGTAGCTACATTTGATAACAACAAGGAAGGAGTAGAAATGTCGAAGAGCTGTCACAGACTACTAAGCGCAGGAAGAACTAATTCTTTATCCTGACCAATTTCATGATAAGATGACAGCAAGAAGAGTGAAAAGGGATAGCGAGAAGAGGTAGAGTATGACATGACAGGACAGGACAGGACAGGACGGGACAGGATACCTCCTTAAAGGGACCAAGAAAGTAGTACGTCAATTTTTGCTGCTCTTTTTTCAAAGTAAGTCATGATTCCTTTCAACATCTCCCTTCTCTTCTCTTCTCTTCTCTTCTCTTCCCTTCTCTTATCTTGTCTTGTCATCCACTTTACATATCACTCTGTTGAAGCTATTATACTTTGTAGTTAGGCTTGTTGGATTTGAAATCTTATAAAGATATAATGTATTGATGGAAAAGCTTGGAAAGGCTCATAACACAATAATCAGACGGGCCAACCCAATTACATATTGCAGCTACCTTGGAGATAAATGCAGAAATAGAAATTGTAAATTTAACTATGAATTGAAACAATTATAAAAGAGAGAGCAATCAAAGATAATTACTTCATCAACATTGCACCTATCATTAAGGTTCACCATAATTATCATTTTGCTATCACCACTTATCCCGTAGTTATTATGATTATCAGTACTTCCTGCTATTATCATTTCTATTTCAATCAATAATACTTATTTTAAAAAATATCTTAAATTCACTTACATAAATATTACACAGTATTCATGATAGCAATTGTTCGACTTAAACATTAGTGAAAGTAAATGAATCTTAGAAGCTTCGTAAGCGCTCATTATTGCTTTAAGTGGTTAACCATTAAAGCTCCCTTGAAACTACAAACACGAATTTATTAAATATACCTTTAGTAGACTTAGTCAATAAACTGATAGTCATAGAGGTAGAAAGAATTGAAAGCTTCTATCACCTTCTTTTACCTTTATAAATAAAAGATATTTAACAATTGCAAACTTAAACTGCTATATAGGATGAAAAACTTGAATGATCGTACTTAGTAATGCATACCTTACTTTAAAAGGTCATCATACTAAACAGCTGCCATTATTATCAATAGCATACGAAAGAGAAAAAAAAAAAAAAAAAAACGAATTAAAATGTATGTTTGCAAAAAAAAAAAAAAAAAAGAACAAATAAAATATGAAGTTAATGTTTATAATTTATTATAACCAATGAAAAAAATGAGAAGCAAAAGTTTGCAATATATAAAGTAACAATTGAAATCATTTACATCTCGAGCAATTTCATTTTATTTCTACAGTAATTGCTTAAACTGAACAAAGTTCTAGTTAGGAACTCTGAAATTTTAAATACATTTTTGTCCAACAAAAATTAATAATTATTCATAACAATAATATGAATAATAATAGTAATAATAATAATAAAATTAGTAACAATTTGTAATATAATATGAAAGGTTTGTATTCGCTTAAATGTCAAATTGAAAATTTTCATTTTAATATCGATATGATAAAAATAATCATTTCAGGAAGGAGAAAATGATGCCAATGCACTACTGTTACTGAATTTGATCCGTCCATTACCGAATTCTGAAAGTAATTACAACATAGCTGTGCGATCTGTTCACCAGAAAGTCAGATTTTTGAAATTATTTAAAAAAGGAAATTCTTTTGATTATGCTAATGTAATCAATAATTGATTTATATAGGTAATGAAGGTAATCAAACAAGAAGAAAAAAAAAGAAATGAGTAAGTTTTGGCGGAAATTGAAGCTATCAATCAAAACTAACTAAACTAAATTTGATTTTCGCACTAATCTATTTTAAGTTCCTTCTAGATTTCAATGATTTTTAATAATAATTAAATCCAAAAAAAAACCACAACGATGCATCAAAATCAATGCAGAGAAGGTGTTAAATAACTAACCAAATAAATTAACCACTTTTTTTTTTGTTAGACAAATTATATCCAATTATGTGCTTAGAAAAAAAAAGCAAATTAAAAAAAAAAAAATCATATTCTCAGATCTTTGCAATAATTGGTTGGTAGAAAGAAAAATGAATAAATTGAAAAGCAAACCTATTAGTGCTATCTTAGTACCATACTTCTTTTTTTTTTGTTTTTGTTTCTCAATAATTTCGTAAATGAAAACTTCTTAATTAATGATACAAGAATAGAGTTATATAACCTTTTCATTAAAGTTATATAAACCATCTTTTTATATTAGTCTGATCAATAGGAATTTCAAGAGATCTAATGCTCCAAAATTTTATCTCAGTTACAAATAAATTTATGAGAAGTAGCCAGAAATATAGTATCTATTTCTTTCACATTTCTTAGATTATTAATAGTATTATTTTGCTAAGTGAAATGATCTATTAATTAATTAATTAATTGAATGCAAAAAGTTATGATTGCTATCATTGTTCAAAACCAATGATTGAAGTAAATGAGTTGATGAACTAAATTTTTGCCTAAAGAAATTGATTCATTCTTAATTAAGTCATAAATAAAAATGAAAAACTAGTGAAAGCTTTTGGAATACACTGTTAATGAATGATCGAATGACTTAATCAATTCCAATTCGCTCAATGAGGTCATCTAGTTTGATCAACACTCAATAGATCAATCTCAAATTGTGATCGATTCGAAATTCATGTTTTAATAATTTGATTTACTCAGTTAGTTGTTCATTGATATGTTTTATGCATATATTTCTATAATCTTTTATGTATACATGAGAGATATGCATGTTTCTCCATTAATGAAATGTCAATATGAGGCACTAAAATGAGTAGTCAGTCAGTCTATTCAAGGAGATAAGAAAAAGGGGGTAAAATAGGGGACAGGTTGCTTGGATTCCCAGGTGAGCAATCATTTGCATCTCAGAATCCAACAATTCCTAGATGGATGGATGGATAAAGAGAACATGTATCAGCACACTTCGAAAAGCACCTGTCCTGCGGTGACCTTCTAGAAAGCTTCCTTTCGTTGCAAAAGAAAGGAAAGGAAACCATCTTCCTGTCCTTATCCATGCATTCCAAATGATCGCTCTCTCTCTCTCTCTTTCTCCTTTTCTCTTTAATGAGTAAACAGCAACATATGTCTTCCGCTTCATTGCGAACAATGTAATTAATTGTTTCATCAGGTAAAGAAGGTAAGGTTACCGAAAAGAAGCACCAATCAACATCATTAGCTCACCGTAATGACAACATTTGCCTGGTGAATCTTTCTCTTTTCTCCAGTTCAACCGGAATACTCCAAGGGAATTTCTTATCCATTCATTTCAGTTTTCATTTCTTCTTTCTCCTGCATGACTATAGGTCTAATCTGTCAATCAATGCAATAAATCTAAAAAAAAAAAAAAAAAAAAAATCTATGATCGTCCAAAGAAATGAAATTAACTCTTGCTGATGACGCAAAAGAAAAAACGAAATTAGAATTAGTTTTTAAAATTCTCTTGAGATATTTTGCTCAAAAAAAAAAAAAAAAAAAAAAAAAGAAATAGTCATGCGTCAAATTAAAAATATTTACGCAAAAAAATAATTTTTCATTGTTAAAATTTCTTTTTTATGCTTATTTGCTTTGATAATAAGTTTCACTAGATCTTTCTTTTAAGCTTCTTTTTTTTTTTTTTTTTTTTTTAATTTTTGATCCATGTCTTTAATATTCTAAAAGACTTCTTACAGTATGTAACTTTATTACAACCTTATTTGATTATTAACTATTATTTGCTATTTTCTAGTTCTAAAATTATGGAAATTATTTTGAGAATTATTTACAGATATGCTTACAAACGTCTCGTAAAATTGAAGTAAACGAACGTTTGGTAGCAGATCGACGGATCGAAATTGAGCAACATTTGCATGATAGTGATAATGATGGTGATGAAAATGATGATATGATAGCCGAGAATTGTTCACACATACAGAGGCGTAACTCACGGAAAGCTAACACGTCGTCTATAATCTCATTACCACCATCACCATCATTATCACCATCATCACCATCACCATCACCATCATCAACATCGTCATCATCATCATCAGCCAGTACATCCGGAACAACAAAAACAGCTATATCATATTCTGCTACAACTATTACTTCTAGTAGCATTGCTAATATCACTAGCAGTAGCAGCACTGCTGGACAATTACTACGACAGCAAGGACAATATCCAGAAAGGTAAACCTGTTTCATTTTTCATCCATCATTCATTCGTCATTTCTCTCATTTTCTGTTTTGAATGATTCTCAAACTCTGAAGAAATCTGAAGAAAGAGACAGCGTACTATTAAATGGGGCAAATTCATGATTTAATGAAGAAAGTTTTAAAGATAATTTTTAAAGATAAAAGCTAGATCATGTCTAATCCCAGATCATAATATCAAATATTATTTGCATAAGTGCAAAGTAATCCTTACTCGAGATCAGATTCTCAATGATTAGAAGTAATAAATGAGATATGTAAAAAATTTGAAGAACAAATTGGTATTAAAAGAAGATTAGTTAGCTTAAAAATGGTTGAAATTTATTTTTCTAATCAATTAAGCACTGTTATTATTTAGTGAATCCAAACATACGAAATTTACACCTTGCTGTCCTCATTTATTTGTTTATTTTTTTTTTTTTGCTTTTGTAAAGATATTTTAAATGGGAAGAGATGTTAAGTTAAAACAATGTCTCATTTTAATCCTGTAATCCTGAAATCCTGTTTGTCATGAGAAAAACAGATGCATGTTTTTTTTCTTTCTCAAAAAAAAAAAAACCAATTTTATCTGATCTATGGTACCATTGTAAAGTTAACGAAGTTCAAGTAAACCGGAAGCCGGAAGAAATTTTTTGAATTGATAAGGAAATTAGGTGATGGGGAAAATCACAATGCACAATAAAAAATTAAAAACATATATCGTAGAATGTAGAGATGTGATGGTATAATTGTTTTTGTTTCTTTTTTGAAAAGAGGTGACAACATCGGAAGTTTTGACTTTTTAGTTTTTTTAGTAGATTTTCACTTTCAAAATGTTTGTTTTCGGAAAGATTCTAAATGAACTTCAATCGAATTCAACGACACTCACTCATTTATTAGTAGTAGTTCACTTCGAATCTTAAAATGATTCAAATTTGCTAAAAGTCAGAAGTTCTTTTTTTTTTTTTTTTAGGCATCCATTCAAATTGAAAAATATCCACGGACTACTTGAAAAGTTTTCAGTGATTTTTTATGCTTGATGAATACAAAGTTTTGCTTTTGTCATCAATTTTGAATTTGGCAGAACCAATATTTCTATTTCTGAAAACAATAAATGTGAAACTTTTTAAATTGATTAATTGAGATAGTAGTGAGCCGTGGAACTTTTTATTAGGAATTGTAACCTGTTTATTTCATTATTTCGATTTAATAATTCTTTTCTGGATGTGTTTAACTGAACGGTTATATTTTACCTAGTAAGAGAAGACAAATGACAAGAAGAAATTCATTGTTGTCACATTATTTTATGATTGTTCCTGACAATTCTCGTCTTGAACTATTCGAATTATCGAGTCAATTCTGTCTGCTCATGCCTCATCTTTTGCAAACTGGATCACTGCAAACGGAAGTTTCTGGATTGTAGACCGGCTGATAAGAGAAGATATACGGAGTAGCAACAGCAACAGCCATTGTCGTAGTTATAGCAGTACTACTACTAGTAATAGTAGGATTAGGAGTAGGAGTAATACAGCAAGGGCAGTAATTTTCACTTTCGATGATTGTCCTAGTGACCCATATTACGCCATGCATACTGCCCTACCTACCATTCGACCCTCTTGCACCTTTTCCCGCAGGGATGAACGAAGAACTGCCCCTGTTTGGTATTGAACTCGAATCTTATCCACGGTTGCCTCTTGTCCTCCATGTTAGTGCGACACGACCTGCCGACGGCAATCTTCAAATTTGTCTTGTAGAAATATTTAAATGAATGAAAGAAAGGGAGAGAGAGAGAAAGAGAGAGAGTATATTTTTACAAGATGAAAAAAGATGATCAAGAAATTAAAAAGAACGAAAGTGAAAATTGTCATTTTTGCAGTGCTCAACAACAACAACAGTCGTCATCAGCACAACAACACCATCAAGCAACAGCGACAACATATCAGTGTCAACTTTGTCCAAAAAGCTTCTCCTCTGCAAGGTGACCAAATGAGAGCTATTCATTCGTTCATTTTTTTTTTTTTTTTAATTCACTAACTTTATTATATTCACATACATAAATACTTATTAAACTTTTAATTTAGCTTCAAATAAACTATTCGGTATTCTATACCGCTAATTAGATTCTATGACCTAATATAGTTTGTTTAATTATTTTAATTACTTATCAATTATTTTGCATTAGGACAATTTTCTCTTTCTTTTTTTTTTTCCGAATTTGTAATATTTGTGTTTTAGTTGACAGTTCTTTTTCCAAAGTATGAGATATAACTTTTTACAAAGGAAAAGTTGCATTTTTTCATCGCACATAACTAATTATATTATTGTACATTGGATATCAGCAAGATTGATCTTCTAAAAAAGAAACTAAATTTATTTTATTGAGTGCAAATCTGTTTTTTTTTTTTTGTTTTAAAATACTGGACAGTGGTCAATAGAGAAGGAAAAATTTCCTTTTGAACTTTTAACTTCGTAAGAAACTTTAGAAATTTCAAAAATAAAGCAAAGCAAAAATTTAAATTAAGAAAAAAAAAAACTTATCTCAAATTTACAATTTATCCAAAACTGACTACACGATTTCATTTATTGCTTTACAATAGAGTATGCTTTAATTTCAAATGACTACCTTTCTCTGTTGGTAGAGTCTTAAATACAAGAAAGTCTTAGAAGTTAGAAAGATACCATCGGTCAAATGACTACTGTATTACTTTGATGACATTGCTATGTTCATGATTTATAAACATATATGTCATTTGATGATAATGTTAAGCAGTTTACGTAATCGGTGTTCTTTCATCATTGTTACGTAATGATTACTGTAGCACTCAATTGAGGTACACGGTTTGCCTTTTTTTTTTTTTTTTTTGTTCCAATTAATTCATTCGATAAGAATTGCTCAAGAAAAATCTATCGATCAGCGCTGTTAGAGTTTATGTATATATATATATGTTAACATTATTATATCATAACTGATCATGATCATGATTGATCGATCAGTAACCTAATTAATTTGAAAGTAAATTTAAAATTTGGCTAACTTTTTTATTTTCTTGAGTTAATTTCAATTCTTTTGAATAATTGCATTTAACAATTTCTAAATGCTCTCTCTCTCTCTCTCTCTAAATTATTTCATTTAGCGGTCTCAAACAACACAGTCATATTCACTGCAGTTCAAAACCATTCCGGTGTCACGTTTGCGACAAAGCCTACACGCAATTTTCCAATCTTTGTCGTCACAAACGAATACACCTGGTTAATCTTTTAAGTTTACAACTTTTTAAAAGATTAAAATATTTCCTCAGTACTAACAAAAATATTTTTTTTTTTTTATCACAAAATTCTTCTCAAGAAAACAATAAGTTTATTATTTTGACTGTCAAAATTTTTCCTCGAAAAATTTAAATTACTAAATTCAATCGTAAATTTTTCATAATGCTTGTTTACCATTGGATATTGGACAATTCTTTTTTTTTTTTGCGTGGAATAAAATTTACCGCAGTAATAATATTTGAAAGTAAGATAAAAAAATATAAAGTGATAAATATTTAAGTATTTAGGTGATAAAACTGTTTGAGTTAAATTTAAAGCAAAAAAAAAAAATATATATTAAGCATTCGTTTTTTTTTTTTTCTATAATGATAAAATTAATTGTGCAGCGATTTTGGATAAAAATAAACAATTCAAATTGAATCCACAAATATTACAGTTTTATTCTTAAAAAATTTGAAATTTACTTCTTTCTACCAGCTTTAAAAAAAAAAAAAAGATTTCCTGAATGACATATACATTCTTTTTTTAAAAGATCCTTCTAAACAATAGGAAAAATACAGAATTAAAAAAGTTTTGCAGCTAGAATGAAACCAGAAAAACGATTTATGTTTTCAGGAAGGATGGCAATGTCAGTATTGTAGTGCATCATTAGCCAGTCAATCAGCGCTTCTCAGGCACAGATCCATATGTGAGCCACAGATGACAGCACTTAGCGCCTTTTATAAGCCTATTGGTAAGTATTCTTTAGCCAAACTTTATGATACATCATTATTTGAATTCGTAAAAAACCAAAAAAGCATAATATATTCTCAAAATATCTCTTTCCGTTTCTTCCTAACATTGATCTTTCTAGTTTTTCTCATACCTTTGCTTATGGATTTCAGAAAATTTATAACCATTTTAGTCCTTCTTTTCATTTGCAATAGAAAGCTATTAAGATAGGTAGTGAGAACAGGTTTTCCGGAAGTATGGATAATTGAAAAAAGAGGTTCACCGAATTATGAACAATCTCTCTCTCTCTCTCTCTCTTTGTGTATCATTTCATTGCATCTTTACTCAACTTCTTTTGCTTACTTTTTGCATCGATTTCAGCTCTTCTTGCCTTTTACTTTTAATCAAATCTCTTTGTTTCTTTTTCAACTTCAAATTTTAATATTAATTCTCACTATGTGACTAAATAATAAAATCCTTTGAATTTTATTGGCATAATGATATGAGTAGGAAGGATATCAAAAATACTTTAAAAAAGATGGACACTAAAAGCTTTTCCAGCTTGTCACATTCTAAGTTGTCATGTAACAGACGACTCATTGTCAAAAGAACAAAAAACAAAAAAAACACATATCTTAGTCTTATCATTCCCGATAACTTAGCACTAAGCAGAAAGTATGAGTCGAGAAATTTCTTTATTCTTATCTTATCAATTGAGAATTAAACAATCAAATCATTTTAACAGCGACGCAGCCTCCACTGCTCACAGTATCATCGCATTATTGGTCTCGATTGTTGCAAATCGCATCCACTCAACAACATCAACATCAACAACAACAACAACATCAACAACAACAACAACAACATCATCAACAACAACAACAGCATTCTCAAGCAGTACCAACTACCAATGCTATATTTCCATGGAAAGATGATTATCATACAGTCAACAGCTCTGACGGTGAAAGTTCTCCTGGGAGCAGGTCGAGTTGTTTTATTCAACTTTTACTGACTTTTTTTTTTTTGAATTGACTTGATCGTTATTAGTTGAAAATATAGTCCTTATATTGATGATGAACTTTTTTTTTTTTTAGTTTGATCCAAGAGAGAGAGAACATGCTATTTGATTTTTGATAAAACTAGGGTAGTTAAATTTAACTTTGAAATTATATTCCTCCAACCTTTAGCTAATCAAATTTCACATTTATTTTAGTGAGCAACCATCAGATCCATCTCCGATCATACAAAAATACAGTCCACATGGCTCAAGTGATGATGGTTCACTGGGTGATTTTGAATTAACTCCTCTAGATCTTTCTATGAAAGCATCCGGAACTGGGATAGCAGTAGAAGCTGTTACTATACCGCAACTTCAAGAAAAAATTGCTGTAACAGAGCGATCGAGCAATGAACAAGACGAGAAAAATGCAGAAAATGAAAGTGATGAAATGGTTCCAGGATCAGGAAACCGAAAAGATGGTTCAGGAATAGAGCATGAGAAGCTGACTGCAACCATGGAATCATCAATACAACCACGGAATCTTAGTAAATTAGATCTAACTCCAGCGGTAAATCCTTTTTCTTCGACCGCTTTCATGCAAATGCTTCGTCGTCCATTCACCTATCCGATTGTTCCCACACCTGCAACAGGTGTAGCATCATCTAATCGACAGAATCCCTACACACATTCTTCACATCATTCAATATCATCAGCTCCTATGCTCTCAAAAAGTGCACGTGATCGATACACGTGCAAGTTTTGCGCCAAAGTTTTCCCACGCAGTGCAAATTTAACACGACATCTTCGAACCCATACCGGTGAACAGCCTTACAAGGTAAACCTCATTAATTATAGTTTACACTTTAAAATTGTTTACAAATTCTTCATTAAAAAGTAACATGAGTCATTGATTGGGATTAATACTGCAATTATCATAATAACATTAATATTATTGCTAAAATAGATTTTACATGAAATGCTAGCTGAGTTAGAGTTTTGGTCATTCAAACAAATTATTTTTCAAATAATTGTCAAATCTGAAATGAAATTCAATTATAATCCATTGAGTTTATTGCACATCATTGTATCAATAGTTAATTTCAAAGTTAATTTGCATAAGTTGTTTTCATTTCTTTGTTAAAATTTACAAAAAAAAAAAAAAAAAAAATTAAAGAATTAGTTTTGATGTAAAATTATTAACTGTGAAGCTGTAAAGTTATTTTTGCCTTTAATAATTAATTGCTTTCTAAATTTTCTTTCAAAAAATTTACGAAATTATTTGTTATTTATTAATCTACAAATCGACAGAAATAAAATAATAGCATTTGAGTGATTCAATGAATAGATAATTCAAAAAGTTAACAATGTACATTTTTATAAAATTTCCGCAAAAAGTAATTTTATTATTATATGATTTAGCACAAGAGTAATGAATAATCGTTCATTTATCGAAATGAAAAAAAAAAAAAAAAAAAAAAAAAAAAAAACGACAATAAATGAATCTAAGGATGACATTCATTTAGAATTTTCATTTAGGATTGATTCTATCAAAGCAATTTTTAGTAACAGCAATGATCGAAATAATAATAATAATAATAATAATAATGACAATAATAATAATAACAATAATAATAATAACAATAATAATAATAATAATAATTTAAACATATTTTCATTGAAATTTATTTCTAAAACTTGGCCTTTTTGTAGCAGAAAATCGAAAATTTTTCAATTTTTTCACTCATTCAATTCCAAGGGTCAAATATTCTTACCAATCGGTCAGTCAGTCAGTCAGTTAGTCATCACTATTAAATACAGTGAGAGAATATGGTGTAAAAGTGAAAGTGTTACGTTGGACATTTTAGCAGAACACGCGGGGGTCAATCAACTAGATCAGTGTTCTCTTCTCATTTCTTGCTATACCTGAAAACCGGTTTTATGGCAATCTCAGTTGGCGTAATCGTCGTTTTTCGTTTTCCCACGAAACAATAAATGAAATCCAGATCGAGATTGATCTATCTCAAAAGTTACCAATATCATTAGCACCATCAAATTCACTTTTCCTTTTCAGAAATACATAAATTAAATTATGCAAAATTACAAGTTATTAAATTAATAATAATACTTATCTAAAATTAGCCTCGCCAAATAGATCTTTCTATTCTCTTTCAATTAGACTTTCCTTATCAAATTATATCGGAAAAACCCTACAATTTAAAAAAAAAAAAAAAAAAAAGAGAAACTGGTAAGATCGATTTATGAATAATTTATAGAGAGACAGAGGGAGAGGAAGAGGGAGAGGGAGATCGCTCATAAAAATAATTGAATAACGAATATCTATTGAACATATCCATTATTATATCATATGTCCTAAATAAGTTATCTGAAATTAAAATAAAATATTAATAACTTCTTGATTAACGATCTGACGAATTGAATGGAGAAAAAGAGAAAATGGAGAAAAAATATGGAAAATAAAAATTAAAAATTTTTATCAAATTTGTTAACTTAGCAACCATTCATTACTTTCATTTGTAACATTTATTGTCAAACTATCTTCTAAAAGTTAATTTATTAATTAATTTTACCAGTGTACAACATTATCATTATTATCATCGTCATTACCATCGTCATCATCATCAACATCATCATCATCATTATCCACTTTTTAGTGTCAGTACTGCAACCGATCATTTTCAATCAGTTCAAATCTTCAGCGGCATGTTCGTAACATACATAACAAGGAGAAACCATTCAGGTAATGATAGTAGATGTCATTATTATCATTATCAGCAAGATATTTTATTCGTCATTTGTCATTTAGTAGGAATAAGATTAGATATTGTCGTGGATGATTAAAAAAATTTAATTATTATTTTGGGACAGATTTACTGATATCCGAGAGATTCGTTTGATCTAAATATTAATATATGAGATAACATGAAGATAGCATTTGTGATCACAATTACTGCTGCATTACTGATTAAAACTTCTTTAAACTATCATTTATTGTTTATTACTCTATATCATAGTGATCAATATTTATCATTTATGCCACTATTTTTATTATTTTTATCAGTTAATTATCATTAAAAATACAATGTGAGAAAATTGTTAACTCTTTTTATCATCATTTTACTATCATCTGAGTATCATTGTTCAAAATTGTTAGTTATCACTACAGGAAAAAAGCACTCATATCATTATCATTTTGTTATCACTACTTATGCGTCCTATATTTCAATTTAATATTTATTACAGATGTGATCGTTGTGATCGTTGTTTTGGACAACAAACTAATTTGGATCGACACACTAAGAAGCATGAATCAAATGGTGGTGCGTTGACTATTGCTGCTGCTGGAGCTTTGACAGTTCGTCGAGAACCACTAACGACACCAATAAGAACAGCTACCGTTGCATTACCATTCTCGGCTCAAAGTCTTTTTTCGCATTTAACACCACCAGCGCAGCCCATTTTTTAAAAATAATCTATAAAATTTTTCAAAAATAATCAAATTTATTTCAAAAAAATTATAATTTGTCATTTTTGGAAATTTTTCTCTGAAATTAGAAATAATAAATCCACTCTTTGCATACCAAAAAATTTTCATAAAAATTTTTCCTCATGAACTGTTAGTTAATTAATATTGTTAGAGTTAGTAAAAAAAAAAAAAAAATAATAACCACTTCTATCTATTCAAAACGAAAAATTCTTTTAATAGATTTAACTAAGTAGAGAAGTTCTATAGTTGCCATATTCTCTCTGCACATATATTTCGAATCAATCTTGCTTACTTTAACTGATTTCAAAGAATATAACAATGAATGATACTTTCCTGTATAGAAATTTTTTGTTGTTTTGTCTTTTTTTTTTTGAACACGTTCCTTAATTTATCAAAATTTTCCCTACTATATATATACATATATATATAATACAAATACGTCTTTCCAATGATCAAGAAAAAGAAACCGGATCACATGTGCTGTATTCATTTTAAATTGATAATAAACAGCACAGTATTTCTGCATATACTTCAAAACAGAAAATATACTTTTTGATATTCAATTCAAACGAATCATTAATGTGCCAGACACTGAGATTCTGATGAAAATTAAATGTATAAATATTTCACCTCTACAATATAAATGAGTAAGTTAAATTTTGAACAGTGTTATAAAAAGTGCTGGTTTCCATTACTCTAAAGCACTGCAGACTGCAACCCAACAAATCTCATGCCTTTGTAATTACTTTAAAATTACATTGCAAATCAACACTAGATTTTCCATCAATTTACTTTTCTCCATTCCAGCAAGATAACAAAAGACTTTTTAATGATTTGTGAGAGGTGAAAAAACTAGAAGCAATTCTTAGAAGTTCTCAAAAGCAGTTCATACTTTTACTTTCCAGTTCAGTCAGAAGACGCGTAATGAAACACTTTTCCGATTAGCATTGTCGTTCAGTTCGATTTGTAAGTCTTTAATCTTCTGAAATATGATTTTAGAAACACAGCTTATTCCTATCCATTACATTGAGCACATCGCTTGTCCTAATTTATAAATAAGATTTTTGAAAATTTTAATTGACAATGAAGATGGCTGTGTAGGAACTCACTACATTAAATGGACTCTAAATGTTCCAAAACCGAAACTAAAAACAAGGCCCACATGAAAAAGATGCTTAAAAATAAAAGAAACATTCGGAAGCATAAAATGTGAGAAGAAACATTTTTTACTTTTTATACATTATGGTACAAAAAAGATAGAAAATACCAACACCTTGAAGGATAAGAACAATTTGGAATTAATTTATAAAACAAACTGCCTGCAGTAAATTGCAGCAAAGTGAAAAAGAGTAAAACAAGTGAGACAGTTTCGTTACTATCAGAGAAACATAAGGCTCTTTCTGCTCACATTATCCAAAATTGGTGCCACCAAATTCCACACATTTTCGGATATTTCTTCAACAGTCAAGGAGGCATCCACTACCTTAAATTGAAAAACTGACACAAGTTGTTGTCAATACTGCGAAACTGCCCGAAAATGCCTACTCTGTATCAATCTAAGTCCGAAATAAAAAAAAACATAAGCTCATTTAACTTACTTTCCACAAATCTCTATCTTCATCAGCTAACTGTTCCATGACTTTACTGACTTTCCCTTGAAAATTGCCAAAATCGAAACGTTCATCACCAAATCCACTCCTCTTTTGTGCTTCCTCGAATGAAAGATTGAAATATATAACACAGTCAGGTCTTAACTCACCCATATCAGCCAGTTTTGCCCACTCCATTGTTATGTTGTCAGCTCCTTAACCACAATAAACAAAGCGAACATGAAACAACCACAAAAATTTTGCAAGAAAACCCTAACTGCTCGCCCAATTCCCGTAATTAGGTTAAGTATCTCGAATGCTACAAAAAATCTTGAAAAGGACTAAAATAGAAATAGTGAGGAAACCTTTAGCCAGAGTATAGGCAATGCCTGAATAAGCGTATCGGTCAACGACTAAATGTGTTCCTTTAAGCAGCTTTTTCATCATCAAAGGCATAAGTGCTTGTCGATTTGCTGCGAATACTAGATGCGCTTCCTTGGGATCCATTTCAACTTCCTTTTTCAAATAACGATCAATAAATTTACCTAAGTCGCTTGAACGATCTGAAATGGAATCATTTATTTCTCATTATTACTATCATTACGACAAAAAAACTATGGGTGCAGAAATCTTATTGGATGTGAAATGGCTTTATAAACTAAAATGTTAATAACATTCAGCAAGCCTTATAAATAAAGAATCAATTACCAGGAAATGAAATTAAATCTACATCCCCTCCTGCAGCTTTGATACGTTCCACCAATTTTCTAGACTGCAAACTTTTACCAGCTCTATCACATCCTTCAAATACAATAAATGCTCCACGTATTCGTGATCCCATGCCTACAATGTTAATTATTTATATTACTCATACAACTACAACTGTTTACCTGTAAAAGGAATATATCAATCACTATCGACAAGCAAAACCATCCTGGGAAATAAATGAAATGTTACCAACCATACGAGAATCACAGACATGCATATCAGAACTGTCATTTACTGTTCGCAGAAAGTAATATACTTAAGCTTATGAAACCTCATTTTACTGTTCAACGAGCATTCAGCGTAAATGTAGCATTTTTTCTAGTTATGCACCGATGTTTGAAGTGCTTAGTAATAACGCTGGTAAAGCCATCGTTTGGCTGATAAAACAAAACCAATTTATCCTTTCTTCAAAAAAAAAAAACAACAAGCGTGAAATTTGTCTATATTCATTAACATGATGCCTTCCACCATTAGTCCAATTAATTGTTGAAAACTGTTAGAAACAGAAAACAAAGTACTTTCAATTTGTACTACATAGCATTTTAGAAAAACTAAAAAAAGCTATGAAAGTTTCAGTACTTATGGGCGTTTAAGACGTGAGAGTAGATCTGATATCATAATGAAAATAGGAGTTGGAAAAATAAAAGTTAAGAAGGCCTGAAACTCTGAAAACGAACTTGGACGAGAAAAATCTAAGCGAAATTTATTGTAACTGCAGCAAATTCCAAATTTCACATATATTTACGAAATATTGAGCACAATAAATAATACAACTAGAATTACAAAGCAATCAAAAAAAGATCAAAATACATCTACTGCATCACCAGTGATACTGCGCAACAGAAGCTGGAATCTCATCATAGAAAAGTATTATTCCCAGCAGATAAGCAAAAAGAACGAAACGCAAGAAGAATCGTGGCTGCAAAAAAAAAAAATATACAGTGTCCCCTACAAAGAACAAATAATTAAACAGATCATCTGATAAAGTAAAATAAGATTTTCTGGACACGTACATAGAAGAAAGTATTTAAACTTGTACTAAATAATTTCCATATCAAATAATTAACCCTATTTATTAATTCGCTCCAAATGCATATCTAGTTTCTCATTATAAGTTAATCATGTTTTTATCAATGTATTACAATCAGATCTTCGGTATTCGTGCTTTAATGCTTTACATAATAAACATCATTCTGTTACTACAGAGTTATTCAACTACATATATTATGCATAACTAATTATGTTCGGAAATGACTAAAAAAGCAAAAACCCAACCAAATTAATAAGATAGTGATCGAAATAGTAATGCTCGAATCTGTAAAAACTTTTCACAGCGGCGTTTGCAATACCTCCAATCGATTTGTCACGACGTGAAAACCACGCTGGTAGGTCGCATAATTTCACATCCATCAATTTTGTATCTTCTAAAAGGCACTTCAGATTAGCAAAATTGATACTATGCCATTACTTGTGCCTCATTAAAAGACTTCACTGAAATCCATTACAAGGACAATAGAATTCAACAGAATGTCTTATAAGAGTATCTAAAATCCAAAAAAAAAACCATACTTTTAGTTCCATAATATCTCCAAGGACAGTAAGGACCATGAATGCGAGCATTATATGCTTTATCTCTTACGCCAATTTCGAAGCGATTAATCACTCGATTGTACAAATACACACCCACACGTTCCCAAAGGCGACAAAGTGGCCGATAAATATATAGATCCCAATATAAATCGTTGCTAATTTTTGTGCCAGGCGGTAATGGTGGCACAAATGGTCGAAAGTACTTCGTTACAGGGATTTTTGTTGCCATTGTGCTTGAGAAAAAAAAAAAAAAGATTAAATTATGCAATTTTACTAAAATCACTTAGATGGGAATTACAAATAACTTTTGCACCTGAAATCATCCACTGAATTCACAACATCCTCAAATTGCTGCCTGACAAATTGCTCCCAGAAAAATGCGAACTAGCAACTGCTATTCTATGCATGCGAATAACAAAATACAACAAAACACACAATAACCGCCAGAACCTCAAAAGTATCTCACTGTCACATTGACAGATCTATTGCATCTTAGCGACCAACTCAGTCACAAACAACTATGAACTATGAACCTTCTAAACAAAAAAATGAAATGCAAACCACTTGCCACTTCAGCCGTAGCAAAAAACAAGCTAGTAAAACCTATACTGCTTGAGAAATCGTCAGCTAATCAATATAACATGCTTGAATATAATGTACACAACTATTAACGTTAGATATGCGCTGTCAGACCCACACATATGTTGCAGCATACTACATACGAATTAAAAGAAACAATTTATTAGGAAGAACAGCGAACTGAATTCTTTATATAACACAGAATAAAATCAGATGAAAGGAAAAGTAACATTTGATGATTAAAATAAATCAGCAACAAACAAATAAAAGATGGAATGAAACAGATGCACCCAGTTATTATAAAGGAATAAATAAATTGCCACACATAATAATATTAGAATTTAAGTTGATAAGTAACACCTCTAAAACTACGCACGTTAAAAGAGGTCGGACTTTAAATGGCTATCCACGAAGCACCTCCAGTGTCCCATTCAGTGCATTCAACCAAGCACTGCAAAGCTCCTTCGTATCCGCAGATAACAATACACTGAAAAAGAAAAAAAAAACGAGACATATTCTCTGCTTGCGTAACGTCGCTACCAGTTCGCTCTCTAAATAAGGCTCTTCTTTTTAGCAATATCTTGGTAATCAAAGTAATTTAACATGCAAACCGTTTCTTCTCTATAAGGGAAGGTGTTGTTGGAACCAAAAGGTCGACGGTGAAAGCATTCGGACGTGAACAGATTTCATGAGATGCATGGCTGATTTCCTTATCCGTACATTTCGAAAGGTCCATACATGCGAGAGGAGGCTTAAATACAATTCATATTACAGAAACACCTTCGAAATCTTATAACATTACTGCAGAATGTTTAGTAATATACCGAAACCTTTTCAGAAGCTTCATCATCCGGATATTTCCAAAATTGCACTACACCACAGCGCAGCACAGCCCAGTATCTAGCCCATGACCCCAATCCAGATATTACTTGATACATTGTCTGAAATACAAATTACACTAATTCATCGCATAAAAAAAGTATCAATGTAAATCAAACAGGACAAAAATTCCTACGACACTTATTTACTTGTAATCTTTGAAATTACCAAGAATCCTCGGAAATCGATTTCAATGGTAGGAGGAAGCGTCGTGCAGCGAGAGTCAATCTCAATTGTTCCTTCCAGTGGATAAACTGCTCCATCCAAATAGAATTTTTGTATACCAATGGTGTCCCTATTCAAACAGATATGTCCACAGCATGTGAATTCTGAGAAGCCCACAACTGATTCGTCACCACATGTCTTCTTAGCTAAAAATTATGAGTACAAGGGCGAGAAAAATTTAAGTTTAAGAAATATAATGAAATAAGAGATAGAACCAACATGGACTCAACAACGACTTTGCTTTGTTCTTCAGCATGCTGCATGAATAATCATCCGAGCGACGATTTTCAGTAACTTTCTAAAAATGTACTAACTTCTGACGAATGAGCATGCAATTTCAACAACAGAATGCTTGTAAACAGAGTTTGGAATTACAGTTATAAATTATAAAACAAGTGTTAGTCACACTAGAAATGCGTTACCAGGAAATCTCGAAAATCTTCAAGATCCAAATATACGGAATAAGAAAAAGAATAAAAACTGTTCCCTAAGAACTTTTTTTCCAGCAAATAAACGACAACATTCGAGTGAAGCACAGATAGATCCTAAAAAACTGTATAACAAAAAAAAAGAAAAACAAATTTTGTTACCAAAGCATAGATCTCCAACAGCACTGTAAAATCGACTGGTAGATTTGTGAAACGAATTTGATCAGAAAAATGAACTTTGCTAACACGTAATGCTCGCGTGTCCATTAGTGTAACTGTTTGCGTAGCTTCTACTTGTTCATCAGTTTTCAAAAGGATAACGAAAGCGTACGAAACATCTAGATAAAGATAGTTTGCCCAATTCATTCCAGGAAAACTCAAATGTCAAGCGGAAAAGAACAAGGTAATAAATAGTCACGATTATAAACATATTTTATTAGAAATTATAAAAACAGTAAAAATCTCTCTCCACAACAAACACTGGCATATAAACTTACTTTCATCAATATTACGGATGCAAAAGTTGCGGTTAAGATAAACATTAATTGATGTAAGGTCGATAGCTCCACGCATACGTTTCGTCACTGGAGGAACCGATTCCTTGATAAGTCGACGTCTTTCCAAACGTTGCATTTCATTTCGTAATGCCAGAAGTCGTTCGCGTGCCAGTAACAAACCACGTTGAGCACTTAGCTATAAATATGTCATATCTATTTTCAGAACTGCTCACAGAACAAAAATGTTTATAGCACAGTTCACTTCAAGAATTACTTAACATTAACAAAGATCGGATAAAAGTAAGCATCCCTTTATCTATAAGACGATTAACTAACCTCAACAAGAGTTCCATTAAAACTGTTATTCCTCTTACAGTGAGTTAATGCCAATGATGCCTGTGCAATCTGACCCTCTTGGATCATTATTTCTTGTTTTATTGTCTGTAATCCATATTCCATATAGAAAGACTTATCAGGAAGGAACTTTACCTTTCATAATGAAAAAATGAGGAAACGCTAACAGAAAATGCAATTGCAAGAAAATCTATAAATTTTGATTTCATCAAAGTGAACGAGTATGTTCTAGCTAAAAAGTGCTTCGGCACTAATGATATGCGAGCAAATGAGATTCAAACAAATCTGTTTTTACCAGCAAAATAAAATCAAAAGCATATCACCAACCTGTAACTCTATATCTGACTGTTGCAGTTGAACGATTTCGTGCGCTGTCGAAGCCGCTATTGAGGAGAAGCCACTTCGATTAAGCATATAACTCGCGGAAGTATGCGTGCGACTATTAGTTGCCGGTGAACCATCAAGAGGAGTGGAAGTAGCCATTGGATTCGATGAAACCATGTGACCTCCAAGTTTAGTAGTTTTTATCTGCAAATAAATCATTTCCAGTCCCATTCTTACAAATGCTTTTAATCTTGTCAAGATGGCATGTATTTTACATTTCTTAATGCTTATCTTAATAATATCGGTAATACTTCAGTAAACATCAATTCTGTGAAGCAAAATGATCATAGATCCCTTATTTACAAATACTACATCCACTACAGCACAATATATTTCAGATTTAGCAAATAAACAGAACCGCTCAAAAAATAAGAACTCAATAGTTCTTAGCCTAAATTACCAAATTAATAACCATGGAACAGAAATATCGAAATAAATTACCGTTTGATTTTTGTATTCATAAGTTGCCAATCGCTCGCCAGCAGATGGAGTTGACGAATAAGCAGCTGGAGAAAAACCAACAGGAATGTCATTGTTCGGCAATTTACGGTATTCTCTTTCCAAATCACGGTATAGTGAGATCTGGATAAATTTTTGTAAGCATCGTAAGCAACCAATATAGACACAATAAAGGGAATGATGATGAAAGATTCATCAATATTTCCAAAGGACACAATAATTTACAATTCATAGTAATATATTTAATAATTTACAGCAATAAGATAAATTTTCACATTTCTTAATGCTTATCTTAATAAATGTAGACCGAATAGCTATCACTAACCGAATTAGTTTTTGCAGACGGCGATAAAGGTTTTGCCAGAGATTCTTGCGAACACTGTTGACCAAGAGTTGCTAGTGAATCAGTCTAAAACATATTTAGGGAAGATTCAAGCTAGTTAGGTTACAGCGAATTGTGAAACGATCAATCAAAGAAAACCTTGTTGACGAAATCAAACGCTTTTTCTACTTCAGCAACGTGATCCACAATTTCATTATCAAGTCTTTCCTCATAAATATCTAAAAAAATACAAATATTATAATTTGTAGAAAAATGATCAAGAAATGAAATGTAAAAACTGTTTACGTTTTTGCGAACGATCGGTAATAACATCCATACGGCAACTTGATTGTACTTCAGGATTATAATTCATTTGGCGCATTTGCGTTTGCATAGCATAGGACGGGTCTTGACTGAGAATCTGCAATAAGTTTCACAATCAATATAGTGGATTTGAATAATGCGTAAACAAGTAAAAATATGTAAACAAGTAAATTTTTGCCTGAAATGATGTACTCACGTTATGAATCTGTAACATTTATTACAGATTTTATTATTATATTCTTATTATAGAAGCATATTTATACTTTCTGTAGTAAGCAATTTAAACATCAATACTCCGTAATTCGCATTCAACAAGAAGCAGATGTGGTTTTAACAGCTGCTGAATTATATTTATTCTTTCCACAGAAATCAGAAGAGGTGAGAGCAGAAAAACATAAATAAATATCATTGTTTAAATTGCTTATTATATATTTGAATTTCTAGTAGAATGCATAAATTTCTAGTAGAATGCAAATCACTCTACCTCATTCGTTACTCTGTTGTATCTGCTATCGTAACGTTTCAGATTAGTTATTCCCTGAAAAGTAAGATTTAAATAACAAGCACTGAGAAAGACACAATTGTAAATAGTTATGTTAGAATGAAGCAAATAAAAACCCTGCGCAATCCTAATTCGTATTGCTGTTGATCCCAGACGTTAGCACAGCTCGTGCTACCGTACGGCAAATTGTGCGAGGAACTTCCGTGACCCGAGCACTCATTCCATTCATCTGATCGCGATGAAGGTGACCTTGCAATACCACAGACATTGTAGTTCGAATCAACAGCATACTGAACATTTTGAATACTTCTGCCATTGGGAACACCTGGCACCGGTTGTAACATGTTTGTAACGTACTGTGAATATCGTTTTTGATTCTTTAGTTTTCGTGGTGTTGTATCGATTTGGATTGTCCGCGGTGGATTTTGACACTTATTTGGGTCAGATACCGATTCAAATCTAAAAAAATAAGGTAAAAAACAGGAAAAAAAATTAACGTAACAAAGAAACTAAAGGTACAAGAACTAACCGATTCACAATGCTACGTACGTTGCGTGCTTCAACAACTTGCTCGTCTTTTATAAAGTGTCCTTCAATCTCATTTGTTTTGAGTGGAACTGCTAGATCTAAATGAGTTCTATATTTCCCGAGTTTGCATTCAAAATTATTGCAAAATTACAATGTCAAACACTTTTTTAGCTAGAAAATATGTGGTGGAATGACAACTGAGCTTCTAAAAAGCAATACGCAAAACAAACCTCGAAAAAGTTCCCTGGTATTGACTTCAGTCTCTTGGTGACAAGTTTTTTTGATAATGTTCGGCGGAACTGACTTACCACGGCGTTTCAAGTGATCCATCTCTCGCAACATTTCTACACTTGCTGCATCACTCATCGTTTCAAACAAAGACGCGAGTTTACGTGTTTGTCCTCTTGGCAAACGATTGCTGTAATTGCAACTCGCGACTACTAATCTGTTAGCAATCAAAATTGCTATTGAAGTATAAAGAAGAGGAATTCTCAATGTATAATTATTCCAAATTTTCACACAATACAATCAGTTACAAGTTATGTGCTATATTAAAAGCACCAATTATTTCTTGATGAAATGTGATTTAGATTAAAGTATTTCTTCAATTAATATTGCAATATGTTATGTTCTTTTCTGGAACGGGATTTGAGATGCTACTGTTTAACAAGACTGTTTGCATTTCAGATCACAATCAAGCACGACAGCTTTAGACAATAACTATAAATTAACAAGTACATATGACGAAAGAAAAGTCATCAGTAAGAAAACTGAACTTCGGTGAATTCTTGTAGACGGAAAGCAACGGGTTTTGAAGAAGCTATAAATCTAGTTTTCTTCAAATATTTTTATAAAATAACTATAATTACTAGCAAGAAATGCAAATAATTTTCTGTCAAAAGCTACAAAGCATACCGAATTGTTGAGCGTCCTTCGCTACCTGATATTGGTGATGCCTTCTCAGAGCTATTTTCCTGGCAATATTGCTTTAACAAAATTTCCTTCGGTTCCTTGACAATATGTTCATACTGTTCATTCACAATCGTTGCTGTTTTTTTATCCATCTTAAATAGCTATGCAATAACCTTCAATTCATGCAAATATATTTTTAACTCATAGTTACTAGTAAACCGAAAATTGCCTAATAATAAAACTGTGCTTTGTGGTCAAACAAAAGTACAATTCATAGGAAAAGCAATTCACTAAAGTAACGAGAAGTAGCGATAGCAATAATAAATGATTTAATGAAAACAACCTCAGGTCCAACTGACAAACACTTTGAATGTGGTAATGGAGCATCACTTCTATCAACAAGGTCATGTAATCTGTTGGTTACCTGAAAGGGTGAAAGGAGAATTAGATTTGAGTCAACAACTCATAGGGATGATGCACTGCACTCTTATACGAAAAGAAAAATGAGATATAAGCTAAATTTTCAAAAAACGGACCGTAAAACTTTGAAAATTCGAAATCTTTTGTGGTGGTGATTTTGGGCAACCGAGTGGTGTTGAATAAAAACTGTTTAATCGTTCCTGCGTAAAAGATCCATTTTGACTTCCACTGTTATTTAAACGTCGCTCTAACATTGTATTCAACACAGACACTGCTCGATTTGTATCCTGAAAAAAAAAAGATCAAAGGACTAAAATCATGTAAGCGAGTATCTAATTTCTACTCCACGACCTGAAAAGGCAGCAAATTTACCTCTGGTGATTGCGTTACCACAAGTTCCTTAGTTTGCGAACACTGATCTCTGCGTAAAGTAACTGCTTGCTTGTCCACACTTTTTTCATCTTTTTCTTCGTATTTGAACTGATAGGTACTATTCGGAAAACACTGCATTTCCAAATGACTTACAGGATAAATAATAGTGTGCTGAGTGACAAAGCAATGTTTTTTCAGTTCGTCTTTGGGCAATTCCTAGAGAAATCTAATTGTGATAAAAAGCTAGAAAAGATACTTGTAAAAAAAAAGGCAATTAAAATTTTAATTAAAATATTAAACAAGAAAAATACACGGACCTGACTCTGAAAAAAGGTCTCTATTCTCACAAGGACAACAAACTGAGTGCACCGGTATGCATCGATATACTACACATACTCTTTTAAAAAAAAAAAAAAAAAAAAAAAAAAAAACTGTTTTTAATTACATTTAAATACTAATAATTTTTCGTGTCGTATTCTTCCTATCCAAATACGCGAAGTAAATCAAAATGTACAACAAAGCATTAAAGCTCCTTAAAAACAAGACGCATAGGAAAATTTTTATTCAATTTTCATTGTTGTCATTCTTATAATGGACACATAACATATAGCTTACGACTTTTGCTTTTTGTTCAACATTTGTTTTGTCTTTAACATATTCTTCACGGCTAATTTGTGTTCGGTTGAAATTACATCCTGATATATGATCGGTGTCTGGTAGCATCATATAAGGAAGCGATGCATCCATTGATGTATTCTAAATTTTTAAAAGATTGCAAGAAATCCTTTTGAAAAATTATCTCCGCCAAAAACTGAACATTAAAAATATTCTGTTGTTACTCAAGCTTGAAAGCCATGAATTTCTCGCTCACATCTTTTGTTGCAACATCACTATTTCTCGGTGTTGATATATGTGACTCCACTGAAGAAGTAACATCACCCTAAAAATAACTTCTAAGTGTAAATATAATTACATCTCCAATCAAAAAAATTTCTTAATGTACAATCACTAACCCAAGGAAAAGAATCAGTAAAACTTTTGTTGCTGTGCGCAGATGAAAAAGTAAAATTAGATGATGACCGATCGGTTAACGATATACAATCACGCGATTGACACAAAGGTGTTTTCTGATACCCTTGTGCTGTCAACAATATTTTAGCCTAAAAAGATTTAGATAACAAATTTTGCTTTTCAGCACAAGAAATAACCTCATCCCAATAACTATTAAACAAGTAAATTCATGAAAGGTCCTAACTGTCAAGGCAAGAAACTAATTCTTAAAATACTGAAAAAAAAAAAAAAAAAGCACAAATATTATTGTTGACAACTAAAAAAACCTTTTAAATAAAATTTTCATAAAACAATACTTTATAAAATTTTAAAACAGCATAAAATCAGACGAATACTTTCAACAAATGTAAAACAACGACTAAAATTCCCAATTATACTTTGAAGTACTGGACTATTCTCACTTACTTTTCCAATATCAATTGCATTGTTCTTATCCTTACTTGTCGTGAATATCTCAGTATGATTACAGTTCTGCTGAAAAAAAAGGTAATTTTGAATTTTCTATGGGTTTTTAAATTTCTTTATTGAATATATACGACGTTTTGAAAGAGCAATGTTTCCAATAAATTTTCTAATAATCAACAATTTTCAATAAATCATAGTTTTCTTTCCAGATGAACCTAATAAGTAAAAATTGAATAAATCTGTATTTGTCGCACTCCACAATCGGTAAGCTAACAATGCAAAATTTGTTATGCAAAATTTTAAACGAACCGCAGAGAAAGAAAAACTTCTCCATCTTGTCACAAAGCGTGAATTAGCTGATACTTCACCACATACAGCATCAAGACAATTGTCAGAGGTTCGATGAGTCTCATCATACAAACCCTGAAAAATAACGAAGTCAAACAACTGATAAATTTTGTTCAGAACATATTTTAACCATTTTTCCTCTAGAACTTCTATACATTTTGAAATCCTGCACTTTTGCAACCTTAAATATTGACATAATTAAAAACTCTCCCTCAAGACTTATATTTACATAGGAATTTACACATTCATGCATGTACGTAATAGCTTCGCAATTTGGAACTTGTTCGGGAACGGCAATCCCAAGGAAGTGAAATGTATTTTATAATAATATTCTATTTTTTAAACTTATGAATGTGGTGATGTTTTTCTTCAAATTCGTAGATCTTCAGCTAGATCACCAGCAACGTCACGTTAAAACTTTAATAAAATCCTCTTTGCTATAGTAAAAATTGTGGTTTCAAAAAAAAAAAAAATCGCATTCTAAGATTGCTTGCCACTATGCTTAATCGTATTCAATAAACAACGAAATATGTACAATAACAAATGCACGTTCTTGTTTTATTTTTGAGATATTAAAAATTAAATGTAAGAACTAGTAAACAATGTGCAGGAACAATTAAATGACTTGACTTTCAAAATGTCTGTTTCACCCACTTTTGCCCCACATGATCAAAAATTTATCATTGTTCCTACAAAAACCCTTTTGTTGATAAAATAGCTTCTCATTAATGTTCTACATATCGTGCAATATTATACAAAAGCTAGTAAAAACATGGTAATTGCTTCACTGTAAAAACTTTCAATAGAAAATTTATGCACTAAAGTAAACCCTATGCTCTTTTCGAACTCCTTCGTCAATATTTCCAATAGTCATACATAGAAAAATATGCTCCCTTTCTATTCAATACATCTTCATCTTTGTGGAATACAACCTGAGTTTTGTATATTAATAATAGTCAAAAGAAATCATAAGAAATTAAGTGAATTTAAAACATCAATCTTAACCAACTAACATTATTGCATAAATCTTTTTTGGAAACTGATATAAGCCTGTTTATATCACCCTTATTATTAACTTCGTCTACATCGTCGCTTAACTGAAAAAAAAAAAGTTTCAGAATGACATTGTTATATGTCCAGAATTGAACCGTTCATGGTAGAACTACAAGTTAACTTAATGAATAGTTTAAAATGCAGATTATGATCGCTTTCAGTGAATAATATAGCAGATAAGAGAATGATAAGATACACAAAATGATGGTACCAAGGTAAATGAGATAAAATCCACCTCAATATAGAAGTGTTCGTCCGATACAGAAGCAAGTTTTTGTCCAGAAATGCTCAAAGTTCGAGTAACATTTAGAACAGAGTTTTCCTGAAACAGAAAATAAGAAGTTATCATATGATAATAATATCCTTTTATAATTGGGCTTACAAAGACAAGGGAAAATTACTCCATTATGAAGAACTTCCAATGATGTCGAGGTAGTTTTTGGCCTGCTGACATTCGAATTTTGAGATTCATCACCATTGAGGTGAAGCTGAAAAAATTAGTATATGTATTAGATGTCCGAAAAGTAAATGATTATAATCTGTTGTAATCAAATGCTCTACATATCAAAACCATGTTTACTTCACAGCACAACGAATGTTACACTGCAAACCGCAAACCTCGAAACAAGAGCTCCATGATGGATCAGATGGATCAGCATTAGTTCCCTTTGTTTTTGCACTATCCGATTTGCCCACATTACGCAACTAAAATTTTTTAGTTCAGATTTTCTTTCAACATAAAATCTTCGAGGAGAGGGGCGGGAAAGAGAGAAAACTGTGCATAGAAAGGAAAAGATACAAAAGAAGTATTTTTTACACAAAATATTAAAGTATATATACTTTGTATATTTTGTGCTTAACACAAAAAATACAAAGTAGTATTAAAGGTTTATCAGCGAGTCAAGAAAAAAAAAAACCGCACTGGGTCCAAAAGATCCAATTCACTCCGAACTCTTAATGATGTCTCATTTCGCTGTGGACACAAATATAGACGACGATCGACAATACAGCTTTCTCTGACGACATTACTTTTCTGAATATCAGCAAATTTGTAATATTTATTAATCCTACTAACTAAAATAAATATTAGCCTAATCGGTAACAGATATAATTGACATAGAGAATTCTGAGATACAGCGACAACTAAGGGGAATTGTCTCACAACATTATTTTACTTCCTGGATGAAAAAGTAAAGTACTCGGAGATTAACCGAGCAAAAATTAAACTTATTCAATATTTCAATAAATCTTACATCCCTGGACAATAAAATCGTATTGCCATTAAAGTCCTTTTCGCTTCCCAATTCAATATCTTGCGTGACTGGGTTGGTTAACTGCAACGATCTTCAAGTTATAATCCAGGATATGTACTTTACAAAGAGCGAACTCTACGTTTTCTCTTTTGTTTTGAAAACTGGAAATTCAAAACCTCATCGGTTGTTTCAGTATTTGTAGTATTTGTAGCGGATACAATTTCAAGCTCTTTTGCATCATTTTCTGCGAAATCCTAAAATTGTTTTCAACGTTGTTCTTATCAATTCTTTTTGATTTATCTGTAACAAACTCCGCATACAAAACCGTAGTCCAATAATCTATTCCGCAGCTTTCATAGATTCGTCCATAGAAATACGGATATTCAATTTGGAAAAACTTTGCCATTCAACCAACGAAAACGTTCACAGTTTCATAGTAAATGAATGAACTAACATTGTTAATTGCACATGGTATTTTTGGCTCATTCTTCTGCATCTCAGAAGAACTCTTTATGCATTCATACACTACTGTGTTTTCTGCTGTTTCCTGTAATGAAAGGTCAGTCGCACTGGGCTGAAAAGAAAATATAACATTGCCATTTTTATGGCCTGATGTAGTCGCGACAGGTACTTCACATGATTTTATTTCCGGAATGCATTAAGGTGTGCATTAATGCATTAACCAATTTCTTATCGAATATAACTCTTATTTTTCACATTGTTATCAACCCAGCTTTTAGAAGACAAAGCAAAAAAAAGATCAAACAGAACGGAGAACTTAAAGCTATAATTGCTTTTTATTTAGCAGAAAACTACAAAATTAAACATACCGGATATTGTCCAACTGGTGCACGACAGATATTCTTCACTTCACGGCACTGAAATTTCGAAACTTTCAATACAGCAGAAAAAAATGAGATGCAAATATACCCTAAAAAGCTATCGTAAAACAAAATTGCAAGGTTCTAAATAATCTATATTATCTATGTGATCAAGGCACTAGTAAGAATCTGGTCACTTCAAAGTGCCGCTGTTTTAATCATAAGACTTTTTCAAATAAAATAATAACATTTCCGCGACCACGACGACTGTCGCCAACGTATCCGTAGTTGTTATATCTCCAGTCATATCCTCCGTAACCAAAATCCTGAATATTCTCCAATATTAATCCGATGTGATGATTAAAAGTTTTCAAATGAGAAACAAAGACTTAAATTCCTTAACTACATTACAAGATTTATAGATAAACGAAAAGAAAGTGAATAGTATCCAATTTAAATTTATTGTATCAAAAACTATACTCCTATGTGTTTTTTTTTGTTTAACTTAAAAATTGACGAAAAACCTTACACGACCACGTCTTCTACCCATTTTTAAACTTCCAACAGGAGCGCACGAACGAATATCACTGTAACCAGAACTGAAAAAAAAACTCCACAACCTCCCCAACATAAACTCCATTGTTCCTATCCCCTGATAGACTAGATCTTCACATAAACCCCCCCCCCCCGCGCTGCCCTCATCGGGAAAACTTACCCGTGCGGATAACACATACCCAATGCCGTCTCTCCCAAGAACATAATGGAAGCCTAAAAATGCACACTTCCCAGCAGATAATTGGAATGGATGAGCCTACGTGATTTATGCAAGAACTGTCTACGTGATTTCTGCAAAAAGCACATTCTTTGTAGATTAACGCTCGTTTTATGACTGAAAGGAGTGGTGACAATTCTTCAGCTTTCCTCCCGGTATGTCTCAGATTGTGCTGTGAAATCTTTGAGACATCCCATACCTCTATGGATTCCCGGGATATTCCAATAAATGAAGACAAACAATTTACGCCATCAAATTTTCCACTCATTTTTTCAAAACTTTTTGTGAGGAAAGAAGATTTAATTGTTTTTTATCACTTCCTTTACAAAGAAATAATTCACCGGAAGAAAAAATAAATTTCCCGGGGGAAAAGTCTGGAATATATAGAGCTGTTATCTTTTGCGAGGATGCAAAAAGTGCAAAAAATATGTGTGACAGTAAGCAATAGTTCAAGTTTATTATGCGCAAATTATTTGGTATTCACTTAGAAATATGTTGAACAAACTGTTTAAAATTCTGAATAAGGCGCCCGAGATATCCCAGAGCACAAGTATGAGGGAAAATATTAAAATCATAGAGAGTAACGACTATCACTAAAAGGTAAAGATGACCATTTCATTGTGTCTTTTTCATGAAGCATATTTAAATCACTATAATGTTTTACTTTACTTTTGACTTTTCAATTCTCAATTCCCTTCCTTGTAGGAGATCGGATAGCAGTCAATGAAGGAGATAAATCGTTTTCAGGATCAGTGTTCAGGATCAGAAAGATAATCAATCAGTCGACTAAAAATTTATTCTTCAATCGATGTGACATTTAAAATTTAAATTGTACATGACTAATGAATAATCTCTGCTATAAACTGAATTAGTTTAAAGCTGAAAATGCATGAATATCGATTTTCATCCATTCTTGCAGATTAAAAAGTGATAAGTACATTTAATACTGATAGAAATTAATTTATTCATATTTTCTGCAACTTCAAAGATTACATGCAAAGTTTGATTTGTTTGCAAAAAAAAAAAAAAAAAAGTATGAAATGATTGCTTGTCATTTTAATTATTACAATCGCTAGAACAAAGAGTAGTAGTAGAATTGATATTATTTTCATTTACTAAAAGAATTGTGAGCGGTCAGTAAAGTTGACTGTCTTCAATACTCTCGATTTTTCTCAGGTTCAAAAGAGAGCGAACAGAGAGAATCTTTGCAAGATCACTTCTAATGCCCTCTAATTTTTCAATCATTACTGAAGAACTTTTCATCTGTCATCTGCATAATCCCACAAAATTCCTGCTGTATGGTCTCTTATTCTCACTTAAAAAATCAAAAATGAATATAAGGAAATGACCAACCGATAGTCATTCCTTCACAAAAAAACATTAGTAAATAAATATGGTTAAGTATGAAGTAATAGTTAGTTAAGTATGAAGTAATGGTTACCCACTAAAATTAACCAATAATCAAATATCAGAAATTTATGTTCGATTCTGAATACTTGAAATAATTGCAATTAGTTATAATTAGATGATTTACTTTCTTCAGTTTATCAAGCTCTTCAAAGTGGTAATGACGACAAAGGATTTTTCGGCATATGTGATAGAAGGGATATATTCGCTACGTTTCGCTGTTCTACTGCTAACATTTATCATTTTTCTTTTTATCATGGCACAAATATGTGAAATTTTATATTCATTTATACGCTTAACGCAGCAAAATGTATCTTTTTCAAAATTATTTTTAAATGCTTTTTTTTTTTGCAATAGACTTTTTGTGTCTAAGAGATAATAGTTAGATAATCGGATAGGTTATGATGATACTTGAATGAATAATAAAGTGTACAACACAATTATTCATTTAAATTAATTTTTTGACACACCAATCTTTTTACCTAGTTCGTTTCTGATGCTCTTATTTCTGTTAAAAATTACACCAGTATTGAGAAAATTGAATAAAGCTTATCATCAAGACTTTTCCCTTTCAATTTATTGCTTCTTCAGAGCATTCACAGTAATATTTCACAACGATATCATTTTTCCTAAAATAACAATGTTTATTTTCATTTGCTAAAATTATAATTAAATAGAAATGATCAATTAATTCAAGTTGAATGGAAAGGATAATGAATGTAAAATAATTTGATCCTACATAAAAGCCTATTCAGATATATTTTAATCTGCTTTTGTATCAGCCATTTGTTTTGATGTTGCGGTCTTTTCAGTCGAAAGATGATGAATATGGCCTAACGGAGATTATTATGGATGATCCCAATAATTCGAGAAAAACAAGTTGGAGAAGAGACAGGTTTGTCCTTCTTCTGTTCCTTCAGTTGTTTTTCTCTTTTTCCAGAAGTGAAAACCGTATGGAAAAAAGCAGTTTATGTTCTCGAAATTGATGACAAACATTTTTTGAGATTAAACAATACGATTACAAAAAGATTACTTTCTTTTTAATTTTTATTGAAAGATATTAAAGAGCGAACAAAGAAGATATCAGGCAAATTTCTTCGTGCAGTGAAGAAAACAGAGGAAGAAGAAATGATCACAAAATGACATTTGATGAGGTAATTCTTTTCCATTTTATCATCAAATTTGTGCTAATTTTAAAATCTGGAAATTTTATCATGTTCACTTTCTCAAAATGTATTGTAGAAATCAATGAAAATATCAAAATTATCATCAACATCGTTTGCTTCATCCAATACATCAAACTGCTCAGAGAAACAGTTAGAAGGAAATTCACTGAAACGGAAATACTTCGGTATGTTTACGATTCATTATTTCAATTATTCTAAATAGAACTTCACAAATACATTAATTAATAAATAGACGTCTCTTGATTTACCTGCAAATAAAATTTGACCACTTCAAAAATTATTTCCTCTTTAGAGTGATTTAATCTACTGGACTGAACTCAGAGAATTAATTACACTTTGCTAGCAATTCAATGTTGAAGACACATGTTGCAATATTCATTACTTTTGTTTATTCAATCAAACCATATTTTTGATATATTGCAGAAGCAAAAGAACAATCAACCAATAAGTTTTCAAATACAACAAATGAAACGATAAAAGGAGACGAATCATTGAAAGGAACAGAGTATTCGCCTAGTGAAAAAAGTAAGAAAATTTTCAAATTCGCAGTTAATATTCTCTCCGAAAGAAAAGAAAAGAAATTGCAAGCAAAAGCAAAATTATCAAAGTGATAGGATTAGAGGAAAATATTTCGGAAAGCTATTTGGTTTCTTTTAGAAGTATTTTACTTCTTTTCTTTGCAGACTACACTCAGAGTGATTCGTTTGCATCATCAAGGTTTGCAGCTCCCAATAATTTTAATTATGTAGTTTCTGAACAATATTTTCTTATAATCTTTACTTTGTCATTTTGATGTATTTAAAGCAATTCATCTTTAAAAAAGCGCACCAAAATTATCGTGATAAAATTAAGCTAAGAATCATTAAACAAATTTATTAAGTTGATAAAATACCAAAAGTTAAAGCTCAAAATTGGTAGATTGGACTGTATACCATTAAATAACACTTAGATATTACTATTAATCTAAATCATTGTACAGCATATTTTCATAATATAATCAAACAGTTTCAGAAATAAGTGAAGAAGAAAGAATAGTACAAATGGCCAAGCAAATATATTTTGTATTCTTCTATAATCACTTAATTATAGATAATCTTTTTTTTTTTTTTTTTTCTTCGATTTTCATTGTGTAAGTGATGTTAATTTTGTAATTTTTTGTTGGAGAAAAAATAGAAATGAAATAAAATTTAAAAGAAAAATTTTTAAGCAAATCTAATGAAGCTTTTTCAACACATTTATTATTGTATGATGATCAAAATCATGAAAATGAAACATACAAACGAGTGGACAAACTAATCTTTTCATAATTTGACTTCATTTTCACTAGAAAAAAAAAAAACCAGAAAAAAAAAAACCAAAAAAAAACCTTATAAAACCATTTGATATTAAATAGTATTGGTATGGCATAAATGATAAAGTTAGATGATAAATAGCACATCCATTCATCCATCATGTATTTATGTTGAATTACTGAATCATTCGATTTGTTTCTGATATGGGGTCATCCTCAAATTCGGACAGCAATTTGCAGAAGAAAGGAAAGTCGATTTAGATAAACGACACATTTACAGTGATCAGTGATCATCACATCATTTCAATTATCACTGCTTTCATAGCTGATCGCTGATGTTAATTCTATTGTCGCTTCCATTTGCTTTTGCTACTTCATCGGCATTCATTCTGTAAGCATTATTTTGTTGTAAAAAGTTAGTCGAGAAAGCAAATTTCAAGAATTTATTTTCCACCTTCAAGAATTTATTACAAAAAATTCCTGTTTCTCATGTCGAAAAAGTGACATTTGATTTTGTTATTAAAAACAATCTATGCAAGAATGAATATTGCAATTTTTTTATACCATAAATTTAATCAATTTTTTTAGGTTATTGTTAGAATCTTTGCAGAAAAAAAATAAATAAATAAATAAATAAATAAAGACATTCGTGATAGTACTGATAAACTGTTTTTCCATTCTAGGGATTCAGTCACAAATACAAGAAAAACAATTTCATATAGAGATCGAAAAATTTGCAATAGAGGCGCATTTGAATATCTGAAGTATAGGCTAAAGAAACGGTATGGTGAGTGAATATTAAAGATTTGTTATTTTTGTAACAAATACAATTTTTGAAATCATTTATCAAATTTATTTTGATCGCATCAAAACTTTCTTTATTTGCAGTATTAATTTATCATTGAGAAACTGTTGAACTAGGTAAGGATAAAAAATAGCAATCTAATAGCATATTTGATTTTTAACGCTTTTAAAAATGATTTTTCAGTATTAAATGATGTTATTCATCAAGCTAACTTGTTAATAAAATAAGTTTTCAAACTATTTATTTTATATGAAGATTAAGTCTGCTATTTTTCTCACCTCAATTACAGAGGTTATTTTAGTACTAAATGAGCATAAATGGTATACCGGTACACTATCTTGGTCATTTCGGGATCCATTCCATCTTTTCAAAAACGACAGAAAATTTGTCATTGTAAAGTTTGTATTCTGTTGTTTACATTTTCGTTTCATTATTCGGAACAATTTCATTCAAAAACAAATCTTCCAGTTCATTAATTTATCATTAGAAATTTCTCTCGTTTTACACTGCATTAATCATATCGTTCCTTTTCGTAAAATACACTTCTTTATCAGTTCTCCAATTTTAATCAATCTTAATCAAGAATTTTAATCAATCTATAAATCATCTCAATGTCTAAACTATTATCAATCATTTGCCTACTCCGATATTACTAGAACATAATTGAGATTTTGTAGATCTGTAATCTCATTCAGTATTTTTCAAGGAATGTTCTGCAACAAGCTTTCGAGAAATGGTCAAATTCATCAAGAGGAGCTCTTTTATTTAAAGATCTCTCTCCATCGGATCGTACTACAGGGACTACTGATGCAAATTTTGATGTTCTATTTGCTAAATATGCTCACGGTGATAAAGAATCCTTTGATGGATTTGGTGGAATTGTAGCTCATTCAGGATATCCCATAGAGGGCATCATTCATTTCGATGGTTCTGAATACTGGTCGATCGATGGACGTAATGGACTTGATCTTCGATACGTCCGTCTTTTGTTGTTGTAATTTCAGCTTAAAATAATTTCAGCTTAAATATTTCAGCTTAATAAAAATTTTGTTGTTGTAATTTCAGCTTAAAATATACTACAATCAATAATTAATAGCAAAAAGAGCATGAAGCAGTGTCTTTCAAATGTCAAATAGATTAAGCTTGTTACATCCTACTTTCTTTTTCTTTTTAGGTTGCCCTTCATGAAATTGGACATGCACTTGGACTTAGACATTCCAATGATCCAAAAGCTATTATGCATCCATATTACAGGTTTGTGATACAAATATCTAGATTTCCTTGAATAACACTGCTAGACATACTAAATATATTTCTCTTGCAGTGATCAATTAAAAGATTTTGAGCTTGCCGAAGACGATATTATGGGTATCAGAAAACTTTATGGAATTTCTTAAAAGATTAAAACTGAAGATTTGTGGAGCTAACAAAATCTCTAATGTAACTATTTTTCGATTAACCATTTAAAGGTAATGAAATTCCGGATGTTTTCTTTTTATGATAGCCGAATTCGGTAATAGTGATTTACATTCCTCAACATTTCTTTTTTTTTTTTTTAATTTTTAGTTGATTGTATTATTTGCAAACTTATGTAAAATAATTTCAGCAAAAAGTAGTATGCAAGCTTTTTGCTGATCAGACTCATCCATAATTTTTTTTTAAAAAGGTCGTAATATGTAAAAAAAAAAAAAAAGAAAATATCGTGAATTTTTGTTCTCATTCATTTCTTTTTCTTATATGAATAAACCATGCTTGCCACACGAAAACAACCCTAGAAATTCTTATTATCCGTAGATACGTCATCTTATTAAGTCAAATTCATAATTACCACATATCTAAATCATTCACAGTCAGAAAACCGATCTGTGAATGCGTATTCGTTGGTTCTGAGCTACCAAACATCCGTTTTTTTTTTAACTATTTATTACTAATATCCATTCCTTTTAATTCATTTTGGATTATTTTCCGGGAACAAAGGATAAAGAAAAAGCGCTTTTTCAAATCAGAAACTCAGAAGTGATATTAAAAAAGAAAATTTTTGAGCAATTGGAAAATTCAAGAGTTAATAAGTTTCGGAATAATGAAAGAAACTGATTACAAGTAAGAACAAATCATGATTCTTACGATTGTCAAAAACATTTTTTTGCAACAATTTTACGATATTTTTTAAAAAAGTGCTGACCAGTGTACAATAGAAGAATAATGAGATTATCCGAATATTTTTATATAAGTTTAAATAAATGATTTCACTAGAAAGAACGTCATAGATTTTTTAATTACAATTTAAAAAGGTTTCCGTTTAGCATCAAAAACAACGCATTGATCTCATAAAAAATTTGTTTCTATCACATTTTGCATTGTAAATACATTTTTAGTGAAAAGCTAGATTTAACTTCAGAAATACTTCACGTCAAATTCTAGCTCAATCTGACAAGAATTATACGTAAAGAGAATTGTACGTACAATTTCTATTTCTGCGATGCAATAACGGTATTTCTTTGCTCACTTGATGAAATGAATAAATCTAACAGTACTTACGTGGTTGAATTGAATGAAGCCAACGCGATATCATTTCATAGAATATGTCTTGACAAGAAAGTACGTGTCCACGTGAATATTTTGAATTGAAATATTCTTCAGTCTCTAAATTTATTAGTTTTGGCGTAAGTACGCGCTTCGTTGTGTTTGCAAAGAATTTATGTTTTATGTGGGCGACTTATCCGTCCCTGGCTTATTCAGTTGTTTACCTCCGAGGAACTGTTTGTTTATAAGTAATGTCACTTAATAGAGATAATATGAGACAATTAACAGGTCAGCTCTTTTTGTTTCTCGTTTTTGTCTTTCGTTTGCAATAAATACATTGATTTAGAATAATGCAAAAGGTGTTCATAAGTAAGTTAAATAAAGATCAAAGATTTTGTTGATGTTTAATTTATTGAGACTTTTTTTATAAGCAATCTATATTGTTTAGAGATAAAATGGAACAATAGTTGATCCTTTTCATTAATTTTTTGAGTGCAGTGGAAGAGTGAATACTATCTCGAGAGTCTTCCCTTGCATAAATAGAAAAATTTGCTTTCTTCTAAAATCTCACAATTCTCCTTTCCAAGGACGCATCATTGCTGATTCAAAAAATTTCAGTGCTACAATCTATTTTGATTTGCATACGTTGTGCTTCATTTAAATAAATTATGATAACGGGAAATTATCAAGCGACATGAATGTTGAAATATTGTTGATTTTGTTGCCATAGAAGAAAGAGAAATGGAATTAATTGAATCATTCGTTTTTTTTTTTTTTTTTTTCTTTTTTATTCAGGAAAATATTGACAGTTTGCATGAAATGATTGATTGACAACGCAGAACAAAGAAATTTTTGCATCCATCCGTTTGAGACAATGACAGTTTTTCTCTTTCTTTTTTGTATTTCTTCTTTCTTTAGATGTTGTTTACGTAAATTTTAAAATTAGGTGAGATTTTTTCTTTAATTTTCACTCTTTTTTAGTGTTAAACAATAGGGAAAACTTTTGAAATATGCGAAATTGAATGATTTAATTTGTTTGTTATGTTATGATAAGGTTGCAAATCATAACTTTTTAGCTATAATAATGAGAATTCATATGGCGGAAAATTAATTACGACAAAGGCACTTCTTATATCAAAACAATAAACAAATTGTTATTATGTCTTTTGCTCAAAATAATCATAGTTACATAGCGCCATTTCTTGTGATTAGAACTTCTTTTTTTTTTCGATTTTGAAATGTCAAAAAAATTTATCTTTATTGATATTTTTAGACACTTCCTTTTTTTAGTTCTTTACCTTTTGATTTTCAAAGTTTTTCCTGTTATTTCATTGTATTTCATCCTCCAAAACTTAGAATAGAAATTATGCTGATTTTACCAATGATAATGTCATGGACATCCATTTTTTGTTGTATTTTCAATACACTTTCTTCTCAACTTTTGTAGTTTTTTTAAATTCAAAATTTCAGATTTGGAATTTCAATTCATTTAACATAATACACAATGCAGCAGTTTAAAATTTTTCATTTTTGCGTCAACCCTTTTCGTCTTTTTTTAAAATAAATTCTCTTAATTTATGCATTTTATATATATATGTTCAATTTAATTTGTATGCATCTCAAATTGAATACTTATCATTGTTTTTTTTTTCTGCATTGTATTTTGTAGGTTGAAATTTTTCGAGATATTTAAGTCCTTTTAACTTTTTACTAATTTTGATGTTGTTTTGCAGTGACAAAAATCGAAAAAAAAAGTTTTTATTATCAGAGTTTTTGCACTTGCAACACTTATCTTTCACTAGCTTGTGATAAACGTTCGTTGTAAATAGATTCGTTAAAATTATCATCCAACAGAGGAGGTAAGTGATGAATCCCATTAGAGAAGAAATTTGTGGTAATAAATAAGAGGAAATTTTTTTTTTTTTGTGAAAATTAGTAAACCTAATTTTGAATACTAGAAGTACGGCGAGAAGTAGATCAGATCTAACTTTGCTAATAAAAGAGCATAATTTTTTTATATATCATACGATTTCAATATTCCACTTAACGCCAGATCAGGATTGTGCTGTGAAATTTTTGTTAGAAAGTTTTCTAATATATAAGAGTTACCAGAATATTCTTTTAAAAGTTTTATGTAGCACAATTCAACTCTTTTATATTCTTTGTTAGCATAATAAATATTCCCTAGCCCAATTAAAACATTTTTATGACAAGCAATCTTGCAGCGACTTGATTAAAAAGAGAAATGATCCTTAAAATACAAGCAAGTATAGATCCAAGTATTACACTGTTGAGGTTACATATTGGTATCATTCCAGCATGTAACCTGAGCTATACGTAACACAATATAAATTTATAAATGCTACTCCACCCATCTCATATAATAATAAAGATCTTATTAATAATGGAGTCAAATATAAATTTCGCTATGCTGACTGCTGTTTTATAGCATATATATAGTTAGTATACTCATTTTATAATATGATATGTTCATGATTTTATATTCTGGTAGCTTTTCCATCTACCCCAAATTAGTTATGCAATTTGTAATCTTAACGCTGTAATACTTGGATCTGTATTTGCTTGTATATTAATTTGTGTCGTGATTTCATCAGAATTTTTTTTTTTTTAAATAATTTTAGGTCTTTATTAATATAAAGTTAATATTAGCACATTAGCATGATTGCCTATTATTAAAATCTAAGCAATTTACTTCATAACAAAATTTACATAAAGGACAAATGTTTAAAAGAACTGTCCGAATTTGTAGATTCAATTGCAATTGAAGAAGTGGTATCACTTGATTTTGCAAAAGCTATTTTAGCTCATGCAAAATGCTCTCCTAATGAAGCAGAAGAGATAGCTGCTGTACCGAATATCTTCAATGGTCATGATTAACCTATAGAAGATAGTGTTGGAGTAATTGGTAATGATGTGATAGATGTGGCAGGTTGTACAGTAAGCACAGATATAATATAAACTACATACATTACAACAAACACGCATTACAATTTCATAAACTAAGAAATAATGCATTAACCACAATAAGGGTTTTTGCACTAGTACAAAAACTCCTGTTTTACTCTGTTTACTTTTATCGTACTAGTTGACAACTAACAATTAATGTCTGAATCAGTTGACAAATTAAACACTTGATAAGCATAATTTGGAACTTCCTGTGTGATCATGGGATGGCTCTCAATCCTGATGCAGTTATAATCATAAACTTGTACCTTTTTTTCATCTCTTCTATATATCTATTACCGGTATATCCTATTGCATCTTGCAACCCACCAATTAATTGATGGATTACTCTTGAAGCTGGACCTTTAAATGGCACACTTCCTTTCACTTCTTGTAGAACTAATTTGAGTTTTGAGTCTTTATCTTGAAACAGCGGCTAACAGAACCTTGTTTCATTACACTATAGACCCCATTCCTCTCGATAATCTTTATATGCTCAACCCTTATACATGATAATCACACTGGACTTTCATCAGTACCAGTAAAAATTGAATCGATCATCACAGAATCAGCACCAGCTGCAATAGCTTTTGCAATACTTTGAATTGTAGAAAATTGTGGCACACCCACACCTGTGACTAATTTGGTTGTGCAAATTGATCTAGGTTCTATTCTAATCTTCATTGCATCAACACCTGCATCAACATTAATTACGTCAATCTCTTCTCTGTCCATAGTTTCACATCTTTCTATACCATCCTTTTTACCAGTACCAACTGCAGCGGCAACTCTGAGCCGCCCTTAAGTATCATTACATGATTTAGGGTATCTATTGTATTTCTTAATATCTTTAACTGTGATCAAATCTATAGAGTAGGAGTTTTCATCTATGACCAAAGCTTTTCTATTCTATTCTCATGCAATAGTTTCATTGCTGAAGCGCTCCCGTATTGTAACTAACTTCTCTTTTGTCATTACCTCGGGGACTTTTATACTTTTTTCTGATTTTTTTAACCATCAATAAACCTTATATCTCTGTTACTTAAAACTTTGACTAACTTGCATTGATCAATCACAGGAATACCAGAAGCTTTTTCAATAATGAAATTGCTTCTGCAACTGTTTTATCAGGGGAACAACACAGTCTGAAGTAAAAGAGTCAATAGTCAATTGCTTAAATAATCCATTGACTTTTTTTGCTTTCTTTTTGTACTTATGTATGAGAGACAAACTGCTTTGGTCAGTGTGGCTCAGTCGGTAGAGCATCAGCTTGTGGTACTGAGTGCGGCTAGTTCGGCTCTGCTCACTCTCTCCAGGAAGATCGTTCCCTGCCTTATGATGAGTACTAAATTAGTGTGCAATTACACAGCCAGCAAAGGCTCCTTGAATAATCCGAGTGGGTGTGGCTCAGTTGGTAGGGCATCAGCTTGTGGCATTGAGTGCGGCTAGCTCGGCTCTGCTCGCTGCCCTCACTTAAAATCTCCTCTGCATTATTATGAGTCTTTAATCAGCCAGCAAAAACTCACTCCCCAAACCATCTAAGTGGGTATGTGCGCCTAGTTCGGTTCTGGTCGCTCTCCCAAATGAAATCTCCCTTGCAAAATGATGAGTAGTCCTAAACACAGCAAAAACTCTCTAAATCATCTGAAGTAAAAATTCCAATGAACGATTGTCAGACATGTTATGCTCTACCTACTACTGTCTTCATCAGATGCACCTCAACTTCTTGACTAAATTTAACGAAGTTGGTAAGGAATATAGCATTATCGTCAATAAACGCACAGGGCAGTTTATATACCTATTGCCTCTTTATTTAAAAGAAGCTTTTTTTGCCATCTTCATCTTCTATACCAAGCTTTTAGTTATTTTGTATATTTAATGCTCAGAAGTAAAATCTATTACTCCTTTAGAATCTAATTCTTCTTTTTGCTTTCGGATAACTGATAGAATATTAAATCTTCAGTAAAGTCAGGAGCAGACGATACACCAATTAGTGCTGCAATTCTTTCTGAAAGTTGGAGAGTAGTGAGCAACATCAGACACCGTCTCATGCTTGAACCTATAATTATTTGCTTGCCGTTACGAGTTACTCTAACACAATTTTTTTGCCAATCACTCATCGTGTAATCAGTATAATCAGCACCTGACTAACCAATAACCATGACCAAAGTAATCAAATAACACAAATGCTATATGAGTTTCTTGACAAAATTTTTAAATAGCAGCTGTTCTAATTCCGTTCATATTGAATGAAAATCCACCAAAAAAGACTATGGAAGCTTTTTTTTTTCCTTTGTAGCTCGCAATGTGCGCTATGTACTTACTGTTTTCATCAAGCAAAGTAATGCTGTAATCCATGTTATTTTGGTATAGCAACCTGACTATCGTTTACTTGACACTCAAGTAACTGATTAGATCTGCAATTTCCTGCGGATTGAAAATATCTGCAAATGTCATATGCATGCCTTTTATATAGGCTTTTGAACTCTTTAAGAAGGCAAATAATTCTTCATATCTCTCTCCACTTTTGATTCTTTTCAAGCATTGCTTTTGAGTAATAATCTACCACTGCTATTTCCCACCAAGTTGCAAATACACCAAGAAGAATAGCAGCATTTGTGGTTGCAGCAAGACAAACTCATAGCAACACTTGCTGATGACATAGAGATCATCAGTACTGCTGCTGCTGCTGCTGCTCCTGCTGCTGCTGCTGCTGCTGCTCCTGCTGCTGCTGCTGCTGCTGCTGCTCCTGCTGCTGCTGCTGCTGCTGCTGCTGCTGCTGCTGCTGCTGCTGCTGCTGCTGCTGCTGCTGCTGCTGCTGCTATTACTTAAGTCTTTCCTTCCCTTTTTTTCGTTAATGTCATTGCGATAGCAGCAATCATATAGCTACAAGCGCTAGCAAAGCTGGAACCCACAATTCTACCTATTACTAAAAGTGACAGAGCTATAAAATTGAACCCTAACCCTACAATAGCTTAACCCTATTACATTGCCCACTACTACAACTACCTTTGCACCCCACTGAAATTCATAAAATTGATTGATCTATTTACTCATTAAGACCATAGTTATAATTTCTATACCTTTACATAAAGAGAAAACACTTAAATACCGTTGATGGACTAAGAGAATTCATTAGAGAAGTTATAGATTCAACCAATACTGAAGGCGAATACCTATCTAGGCCGGTCTGATTCCACTTTTGAATGAAGACGACATAAGAAAAGTTGTTGACATCCAGTTGAGGATTTCTGACTGGTTTTAATGGAAGTTCAAGTGTTAACAATTAGATGAAATATCAAACGATTGACTATTATGATTGCAGTGCTAAATGCTCGTTGCAAAATGTCTCTGCATAAAAAAGAAATGTATCTGAATATTGTATGAGGAATGAAAATACAAGAACCATCGGTTGATCTCTCTTTTATTTCAAGCATAGTAAGTTTATCGCTGTCAACTTCTTCAATAATATGCACGTGAAATTGCACTTTTAAGAGAATTTAGGTAAAATTAGACATATCTCCTATGTTAATCTAAGGCTAAAGAAGCAAGAAAAATAGGATTTAAAAAAGCAATTATGCCTCAAAATGACAATTACTCTTCTCACGATATCGAAATAATTAAGCTTGGCCACATAAAAGAATTAAAGGAGATCTTTAATCACAGCTAAATAGCGCTTTAGAAAATTCTTTGCTAGTGAAAATGCCTCTAATTAGCTATAAGCATTTTGAGCGGTATTCGCATCAAGAACCAAAATAACACCATGAGGAGCAGTGCCATCCAATTTCTTTATCGTTTTGTATATCTTTGATAAGTCCTCCATAACATTAACATTACTTTGAAGCCTACCTGCTCTATCAGTCAATCAGAACAACATCTATGCTATCTATAATAGCTTGACTTACAGCTCTATACGCCACACTTGCAGAATCATTACCGTACTCTCAAGTAACAGTAAAGCAATCAGAACGTCCTGTCCACATGTTTAACTATTCACTAGCAGCAGCCCTAGACGTGTCATACGTAACGAGCATGACGGATTTTCCCATATTCTTATATTTATACGCAAGCGTTACCTATAGCTGTGATTTTACCTACCATTATTATATGTGGTTTTTTGTCTAAAATTAGTGGTTGCACAACATGGTTTAATATAGCTTCTACTTCGTTCATTAGCTGCTGTGTGATAATAATATTATGTTCAACTTCTTTATCAAATTTGATGCTTGCGAACCTATCAATAATCAACTTGCAAGTTTTATGACCACTATTCATGCTAATAAACAATGTCAGAAAAAGTACTTTTCACTCCACCACTGAAGCGAGAAGTTTTTAATAAGCCTGTAAAGGTTACTAGACAAACTCAAGGGAATACTCGTTTTAAAATTACAATATAAAGAATGAATTGCACTACAAGTGTAAAGTTAAATAAGTGTAAAGTTAAATACAACGTTTCACATGCATTTTTAAAGTAAAATGCATTTAATTTCTAATCTAAATATGTTATAATATAGAATGATGATTTACAGCTTGATCTTATGAGTTATAATGAGAAGATTTTGGACCACTATGAATAACTAATTAACTAATTACATGAATGACTAATTAACTAATTACATGAATAACTAATTACTATAACATAGCAGCGGCAGCAGCAGCACCCCATTGGTACTCCAGCATTGCCAGTTGCAGCGCCTATAGCTAAAAAAATTCATATAAACATTTGGCTGAGGGAAAATGTACTGCACCCACTCATTCATCTTTGCAATAACCAATTACTGTCATCAAAATAAACGTGTCACATTCATTCATATTGGTAAAATAAAAGACGACAACTTTTTTGACGCTTTTAGCTTATTTTGCATGCATGCAGTCTATGGTTGTAAGCAGTGTTGCAATGAATGATTTAGAAAAAAATGCAAGCTTTAATGCTGGCATGACTCACTTTAGTGTTTGAATTGATGATATGTCCTTACAGCACCACATACTATTTAGCGGTAAGATTTAGCGGTAAGAACAGCGGTAAGATTAGAAACGCCTGCATGAAATTTGCAGACATTATCAAGCAAAATACAACAAAAGACTATAAAATTTGCTGCCATCTTTAAATTCATGCAAAAAACACGTAATAAAAGACCATACAACAGGTGGAATAAACTTTAATGACCACTGAGCAATTATAAGTAGTGTGTCAAAAAGTACAGAGAATATCTAGTGTAATTTATCTTGTTTTCCTTTTCATTTCCATTTTATTAATTTTTTTACAATTGAAATTGCTCATTCAAATAATATTGTGAGAAAAAATTTTACCGCAAAACAAAAATCATCATTGCTCGAATATATTAGCAAAATGCCGGATAAATTTAAAATATTTGTACTTTTTTAATGAAAACTCGATTTTAATTCATGTTTTATCTCGAAATCAAAAATAGTTGAAAACGACGCACAAACACAACATTGAAAGGCTGAAAGCTTAAATAATTAAAACAAACTTAATAAATTTAAAATTTAATTATTACTTTTTATGAAAATTATACAATTTGTAAGAATTTTTGTATATTGACTAGGAAATAAATTATAGTATTATCAAATTGCAAAAACTATTAAAAAATATCAATTCATTAAAAACAAAAGATATTTTCAATTTAACTGAATAATTTGCATGCATTGTATAGGTACTGGTCACATACATTGTGGTCATTTGATCAGCATAAATAAATAATAATTAAGTTTTGGAAAATACTTGGGTAACGAAATTAATAAAATCTTTAATTAGTCACTGTTTTAATTCATTTTTGCAATTAAAATTAATTTTTATTCCAAATTTAAATATTGGTTTTTATGAGAATCCTATAATTTGTTAAAGCTTTTGTATATTAAACTATGAAATAAATCCCAGTGTTGTCAAATTTCATTTTAATCAAGTATAAAAACTATTTAAAAAAATCAATTCATTAAAAAAACAGGAAATTGGAACCTAATTGAATATTTTACACACACAGCGTGGGAACTGGTCACATATATTGTTGTCATTTAACGTCATAAATAATAAAATAAACTTTAATAATTAAGTTTTGAAAAATATTCGATTAGCGAAATTGATAAAATTTTTGATCTGTAATAGATTTAATTCATTTTTACAATTAAATTTAATTTTTATTTCAAATTTAAATATTAATTTTAATGAAAATCCTACAATCTGTAAGAATTTTTGTATATTAAACTAGAAAATAAATCCTAGTATTGTCAATTTTCATTTTAATTAAGTGTAAAAACTATTAAAACATATCAATTCATTAAAAAAATAGCAAATTAGAAAAAAAATTAAAAATAAAAAAATGAATATTTTATATACATAGTGCAGGAACTGGTCGCATACATTGTAATCATTTGACATGTAAATAATAAAATAAACTTTAATATTTAATTTTTAAACAATATTTCAGTAGCGAAATTAAAAGTTTAATTAATCATAGTTTTAATTCATTTTTATGATTAAAATTAATTTTATTTCAAATTTAAATATTAATTTTAATGAAAATCTTACAATCAGTAAGAATTTTTGTATATTAGAGGAGAAAAAAAGTTGTAGTACAAATTTCATTTTAATTAAGTGTTAAAACTTTTAAGAAATAGTAATTCATTAAAAAAAAATTATTTTCAACTTAATTAATTATTTTATATGCATTGTATAAGAATTGGTCATTGGGGTGTGTTCATTTGACAGCTTACAATAATAAAATAAACTTTAATAAATAAGTTTTGAGCAATATTTCAGCAGCGAAATTAATAAAATTTTTAATTGATCATAGTTTTAATTCATTTTTGCGAATTAAATTAATTTTTATTTCAAAATTAAATATTGTTTTTATGAAAATTATACAATTTGTAAAAGTTTTTGCATTTTAAACAAGGAAAAAAGTTCTAATATTATCAAATTTTATTTTAATTAAGTGTTAAAACTATTTAAAAATATCAATTCATTAAAAACAATAGATATTTTCAACTTAATTAATTGTTTTATATGCACTGTACGGGAACTGGTCATATGCAGTGTGGTTATTTGACAACTTAAATAATAAAATAAACTTTAGGCTTAGGCTTAGGCTTAAGGTAAACTTAGGCTTAGGGTTAGGGTGAACTTAGGCTTAGGCTTAAGCTTTTTTTCAAATTTAAAAATTGATTTTTGTGAAAAACTAATAATTTGTAAGAGTTTTTGTATATTAGACTAGGAATTAAATTTAGTGTTATCAAATTTCATTTTAATTAAGTGTAAAAACTATTAGAAAATATCATTTCATTAAAAAAAATGGTAAATTAGAATTTAGTTGAATATTTTATATATATAGTGTGGAACTGGTCACATGCATAGTGATTATTTGGCATCATAAATAATGAGATAAACTTTACTAATCAAGTTTTAAACAAACTTTCAGTAGCAATATTAATAAATTTCTTGTATTAATTAAAACAGATTTTAGCATGTTTAAAAATTTTCTCAGCATTAATTCAACAAAAACTCTTAGAATTTATGGAATTTTCTTAATGAATCATATCTAAATTTTTAATTAAAATCAATTTTATAGTCAAAAATCAATTGAAATCATTACTAATTGCAAATATTACTAATTTTTACATTGTAAAGTTAGAATGGTTCGAATCATTCAATGATGTCGCCGATGATGACAAGAATAATTTAGATTATACTGAAGAATAGTTAATATGGTGGCTGTTTAGATGCTTAGTATTTTTCTTCAGGTGTTTATAATTCCTGTCTTTTTTTGAACTTTTCTGAACTTTTTCGAACTTTTTTTTGAATTATGAACTTTTCTGAATATCTTTGCTAATCTGTCACCAATCTCTTTGTCGATTTTAGCAAATGATGCTTCTTGGAGAGGTAAAATACTGAATTGATGTTAGTTTAATTGCGCGTGTTGTAATAATGATATTTGCTTTGTGTTGGGAACTGATTTAGAATTTCTGTCATTTTAAGCTGATTCAATCCAGAAAGTTTTGCATTTTCGATAAAGTGGGATGCTATAGCTGGAAATAACAATAAAGGCGACATCGTCCACAAAAAGCAATTTTCGAAAATTACATTTAAAATTTTAATGTGAGTTTTCAGTTGCCTAAGACTGAATAAGTTTTCATCGGTTGCGATATTGAGTGTAAGTTGTATTTCCTTAATTGAAGTCTGTTGTGATCATTTGCAAGCATAATGATGAAGTGATGCGAGAATATATTGTGATTGTCGGGAAGAGAGCTTATCGCCAAATCTGACTGATCTCGATGAGGATCATATAGGGATGATCTCGATGAGGATCATGTGGAGATGATCACGATGATGGATCATGTAAGATAATTTTATGTTGCTATAAGCCATTTGATGATGTGAAATGCTTCGATCAGGTCGATGAGGTCAACGAATGTCACATAGAGTCTTTGTTTCGTTCGGTGTATTTTTCTTGTAATCGTTTGAGAACAAATCTTTTTTATAGTAAATACTAGTCTATCCTGGAATATTTTCACAAAAATTTTTCAGGTACAAATAGAGCAAATATGTCGAATAGTCGGTTCTTTCTTCCTTCATATTCAGAATAAGGATGATTCACTTTGTTCCCAAATAGTTCACAATAAATTCGTAGAATTTAGTATATTGTATTTTGTGTCCATTCTTTCAGACTTCAAATGAAATTCCATCAATACCAAATTTCATCTTCTGCATAGTCTTTCAATTCATCCAGTTCAGTTTTTACTAATTGTTAAGTGATGTATTCAACTTTTGCAGTATTTAATCGAAGATGGGCATTAAAGAAACATTGAAGTGTTCCGATTATTGGCTTAAAATGAAGGATTTATTCAGTTAAGCAGAAAACAACTTCAGAAGCTGAAAGGAACACATACATGCCACTTTCAGAATTTCATAAACTTTTGTGGTTGTTCGTAACTGATTGAATTTTTTATTATTTGTTGACCTACCACTTGTTTCTATTTAGTGTTGATGGAAGATGTAAAAGAGATAAAGAGATTACAAATGATCTATTGGAAAATGAATAAGCCTGAAATCGATTTACTTTTTAATCATGAAACTAATTCCTTAAGGGTAAAATTCTGTTTCCGGTTTGTCCGACCAGAAGAGCATACTTTGTGGTTACCTTTTGATGCAACGAATTCACTGTGAACAGCAATGTCATCATGTAGTGATGAACAATAGGAGTAGAAGGACATTCGCGACAACCATTATTTGCAGTACGAGCGCAGTTTCATGTTTCAACCTAAAACAATCAGTTTGGAAACATTTTTGGGTGCAACTATATGCTTTTTCCTTTGTTTTGGTTTGACCGTAATAAGAAAAAAACCGGTTAACCACGGTTAACTGGATCGAACGTGAAGATAAACCTGATAAGGCTGTTTTTTTTTTCGAAGTTCATCTCTTAGATCAAGCAAACTTGGAGGATGGCAGTAAAATCCTCGGATCGTAGATTTTCTTGGACGGATAGTATCATTTGCCCAGTTTTGAAGTCAGAGTTGATAGACTGAATTCTTCTAGGTTGGTTGCCCGAAAGCTAATAATGCCATCCTACCCATTCACAAATTTGATTTAAACCTTCAAATTGAAATCTTTCTATTCTAAGAAATCCTATCGGAAGTATATGCCATTGCCAGCATAGTTTGCAACTTCAACGGGGGCACATAAGGGCACGCAAGCTCTTTTCCCCATAACAAGGGCTGTCCTTAACGAATTGCTATGAAACGCTTAGAATAATGCTAGCATTTAGTATGCAACTGATCGGTTCTGTATCAAATGTCATTCCCTTTTTTTTTCAACTAAATTAATTAAATTGTTGTAGTTTTTATTATATTATATGTAATAATAAATTAATTATATGTATAATAATAAAAAGTTTAATTTAATTAAATTGTTGTAGTTTATATTATATAATTTAAATGTATGAATATCAAATTACCATTTCTCCTACAAAATTTTTCATTCAGTTATGTTTGTTATGCAAGTGTAACTTTTTGACAAATATTTAATTTTAGCTTTAAAATTTTTCTTTTCTCGAAAAAGAGAATCAAAAAGATTATTATTGTTATTATTATCATTATTATTTATTATTATTGTTGATTATTATTATTATTATTATTATTAATTATTTGTCCAATGATGGCATATTAAAGAGAGTAAATGTGATAGAGAAATGAAAGCGAAAAAGAGTATTTTGTTGAGATCATTAAATCGTTTACAAATAAAAAGGATGAAAAATGCAAACCATATGGACTGCAAGCAATCGTCAAATTTTTATCAAAACTAAACAAACTTTCTTTTTTATGCCCGTGAAAAAAAAAAGCGATCGGACCAAAAAAAAAAAAAAAAAAGAATTAAAAAACTGAAACATGAAAGTTTATTAATTTAAACATTCATTGTTTATATTTATATAAATATAATTCAAGAACAAAATTGATAAGAAAATTTTGAGAAGTAGAATAAATGTTTGATAATGAAATATAAATATATATATATATGTTTCTTTCTCACATGGATTTTTTTTATTGTTATTGGAATTTTAAGCATTAGGAAAAAAGATATTTGAAAAAGATTTATTAGTTCGTTATTATTTAATTAATTATTTAATTAGTTGAGCTATTTATACTATAATGGTTGTATTTATTTGTTTTCATTTTTTTTTTTTTTTTTTTTTTTTCATTAAGTAACATTAATATTCAAAAAATCTCTTAGGATAGAAAAAAAAATGTTTTGAACTTTCTTTTTGACAGTTTCATTTTATGACAGCTACAATTTTCTCTTATAGTTTAGTAAATGATTGATAATTAAAATTTCTGTTATTTAAGTTTACGTGAAATGTTCATTTTAAAAATTTAAAAAATTTTCAGCTTCATTTTTTTTTTTTTGAATTGAGTAAATTAAGCTAAAAAAAACCTTTCTTAGATATTATGATAACATATTAAATATTATAATAGAAAGGTGAAAGTTTACAGTGAATTAGTAATCCGTTAAATTAAACAAAATTAAACTTTAAGTAAAATTTTCTGTAATTCCTTTTTTTATTTTTCTGAATAATAGAACTAACAGATGTTTAGCAGTTTTAAAAAGTCATTAAAAAAAAAAAAAAAAGAAAAAAAAAATAAAATCGCCGACAGTATAACGATATATTGACAATAACATTTTAAAATGATAAAAACAAAATTAGTTAGCCACTTATCAACAGATGAGCTAAGTAAATCACATTGCGATGAATTTCGACTGAAATTTAATTGTTTGTTATTTCGAAATCAAAAAAGTTAAATTAATTTGATTTATTTTTGATTAAATTAATTTGTGAAGAAAAATTAGCAACAAAGATCGATAATTTCAATTTTTTTTTTTACCATTTAAGCAACTTTTTTTTTTTTTGTTTATTTTTGCTTCTCTTTTTCATTTGCTATATAATAACTTTATTTTAGTTACTAATAGAAATGAATGAATTTGATAAATGCAAATTTTTCTTTTTTTTACATTAAAATATTTTGTCCTTTTCATTTTGTTTTCATAATTCCGATGTTATAAACGTTAAATTAAAATTTAATTTCCTGTCAATTTTTCGTCTTTCGTATAAAATTTTCAACTTTTTCAATTTTCATCTTTTTACTTTTTTTTTTTCAAAATTTATTGAAAAAAGCGAAAGAGAACAGATAATATAGGTAGAAGAAAGGAAAGATCAAAGAGAATTGAGTATTGAAATTTTGATCTAAAGTTTAATTAGTAATGGAATAGTACTAGTAAATTATCGATTGAAATGATAAATAACGATAATAACTAATTTTTAAATGCTTTTTTTAATTTACTGATTCAGCTTATTATTACTATTTACATTTAAAAAGATAACTGATAAAGTTTTTTTTTTTTGATCACCAAATATTTTATCAGTTATCTGTTTCGTTTTAGATAGAGGACATCAATCTGTCATTTTGCTTAAAAAAAAAAAATCAAATTCTCATATGGTACTTTTTTTACGTGGACTCACTCTTATTCATCGATACATTCATATTTTTGTGTTATTCATTTTCTTTCTAATATTTCTTTTATGGACGCGAAAAGGTTAAAAAAAGTTTTAAAAAAAAATTTTTTTTAAATTTTATTTTATAACATAAATAATTGTAATACTAATAAAAAGAGAAAAATTTTTATCAAATAAAACAGTGAAAAAAGAAAACGAATAAAAATAAAAACTTATTAAAATTTTTATTTTTATTCTTTGTTTCTTTGCAATTCTTTTAGAATGATTATTAAAATTTATGTAGAATTATGTATTTGGAAAACATTTTGACAACAATTTAATATTTTTTTTTTTATTAATCATTTAATAAATATTCTAAATACATTTAGCTAATTTTAAAGTTAAATGATTGAAATATTTTACTGTGATTCCACACTAATACTGATAATTTTCAAATTTTATTTACAAATAACATTCAAATTAAAATTTGAAAATTTCCAATTTTGAGAACTGCTAGTAGCGGAAGAAGAAGGCAATCAGAATTTTAATATTTCATTTTTTAAATTTTAACTATTTTTAAATTTAATCTATAATTATTATTTTAAGCATGAATTTACTAAAGTTGACAAATTAAAAAAATGCTCCTATAATGCATAAATTAATTAATTAATTAATATAATAAAAATTTAGGGTCACAAGTAACAGAGATTAAATTAGCAGTATTGACAATATTAAAAGATTTTACTAATATTAACGATTATCAATTAGCAATGGAAACATTCGAATGTTATTGCATTTATCAGCGATATGAATGGGTGATAATCGATGTATCACAAAATGATACATTAAAATTACTTTGTCCACATAATGAGGTAAATATTTCAAATAATTATCATATTCTCGTGTTTTTTTTTTTTTTTTTCTATTTTATATTTTGATTTCTCTATAATTACAAAAAAAAAATTAAATTTTGAAAAGTTTGCTAACTATAATTTAGATTATTTATTTGCTTTTCTTTTTTATTTCCTTTTTTTTTTTGTATTTTACTTTTATATATATATATTTTTTTGATAATTTCTAAATTTATTTTCTTATACTTTTTTATATTTTGATATATTTTCTAAATTATAAGCATAATTTGATATGAATAAATTCAATATTTTTTATAAAATAATCATCGTTGTTTATTTGTAATTTTTATTAATTAATTTTAATTGATATTACAATTTTCATTAATTAATTCTAATTAATATTACAGTTTTTCTTTCAAAGACATTGTGTAACAGCGCAATTTTTACAAGAAAATGATAATTTTGATTATGTATTGTTTATTGATTCTGATATGGGTGTAATCAATCCAAAAAAACGCATTGAGGAATATATTACGGATGATAAAGACATTATTTTTTATAATCGTATTTGGAATTTTGAAGTGATGGCTGGAAGTTATTTAGCTAAGTAAATTAGAATTTAATTTATTTAAAAAAAAAAATTTTTTTTTTTTTATAATGCTCAATGTGAAATTTTCAATTTTTTTGCGCATATTTTTTATTGGTTAAGTTTTTAATAATAATTTTTTCTATTACTATTTAAAATTAGAAAGTGATTTTTAAAAATGTAATAGGATAATAGACATATATAAATATTTAAAATTTATTTTTTTTTTATATCAAAAACAATATTTTTGAAGTTATCATTGATAAAAGTTGTGATTGTAGTTTTTTTTTTTTAATTTTTTAAATTTGTTTTGATAAAATATAGTAAAATTTCAAAAAATATCTATCAGAAAGCATATTTATTAAATTTTAAATGTCTAAATGATATGATAATGATTATATTTTAGGAATACTAAATTTGTTATCAATTTTCTACGAATGTGGGCAAATTATAATTATCGTTTACCGCATTCATTTCATGGATCTGATAATGCTGCTATTCATGTTTGTTTATTTATTTATGAAATATATTTTTTTAAAAAAAAACAGAACTTTTAATTTTTGCTTATTTATTTGTTTATTATTTTGTTCATTATGGAAAAATAATGCTTCTGACAGGAAAGCATTTTCCATTTGAAAAAAAAAATTCTTGCAGGAAAAAGCAAAAGAATTTTTTCAGAGAGAAAAAAATGAGAAATAAAAAAAAAAAAAAATTATTTCGAAAAGAAAAATCTATTTTTTCAACAATTGATCAGTCAAATAATTGATTTCTATTTCAATTGATCAGTCAAATAATTGATTTCTATTTCAATTGATCAGTCAAATAATTGATTTCTATTTCAATTGATCAGTCAAATAATTAATTTCTGTTTCAATTGATCAGTTAAATAATTAATTTCTGTTTCAAATCCATTTTATTTTCTCAACGAAAAAAAAAAAAAGACGAAGGAAAAAGCAAAAATTTAATTCAAGCTTTTTTCATTAAAAAATTCTTTCAGCTCACTAAATATAAAGTTCAAAGGTTAGTTTTGAAATATATCAAAATCTGATTTCTCGTTTCATTATTGTTTCTTAATTTATCATTCATTTCAATTCATTGATAACTTATCACATTTTATAATTTATATTTATTTCATAGAAATTGTTAAAAAAAAAAAAAAAAAACGGAAGGTGAAAAGTAATTTTGAACATTATTTACTGTCATTTTTTAATTAAATTAAATTAAAAATTAAATTTTTTATTTAAAAAATTTATTAAACATTGATAGATTTCATTTTAGACAGTTTTATTACACATTGCATCAATAAGTGTGAAACATTGTGAACCATTATGGAATATATCAAACTAAGTTTTTATGCATATATATTTTTTCCTTTAATTATTTCTTAATAAAACATTAATTAATTAGCTAATTAATTTGAGACAATGAAAAATGCAATTTGAGCTTGATGACTGGGAAATTTAATTACTAATAGTTCAGAAAAAAAAAAGTAATAATTCTTTGAAATTTTAAAACTTGTTGAATTTTAATTTGCAATAAGAATTGTTTGGTGTAAAAATTTCGAATGCAAAATTCACTTATTACAATTAATTATTTTAATCATTAAAATTTAATACTGATAATTTGAATAATTGAACTAAGTGTTTTTTTTTTTTATATCAAACTAAAATTTAGTTTTTGTTAAGATAAGTTTTTTTTAGAATCATTTTTAAATTAAATTAAAAGCATGAATAAATAATTAGCTTGAAAACGTTTCAGAGATTCCTAACTTTTATCGATAAGAAATAATTTTTATAACAATTTTTATTAATTAAATAAAAATTTATTATTTCTACTTTTGGTATTGTTAAAATTATATGTTTAAAAATAATAATAAAAATAAAATGTAAAATGATGAATGATAAAATATTATTTTAGAAATTACAATGATTTATTTATATACGAAGCTTGTGTACGAGCTCAACTTGAAACAAACGAGAAATGGAAAAGAAAAATAAGTGTTCTACCCAAGGGTAAATCATGGGCACGTGATGGTTGGCTTACCAATTCCAAATGGTCTGAAGAAGATTTCATTTTTCATGGATGGCAAAAACGGTTACCTTTTTTAATACGAAATAAATTTATTCATAAATTAAAATTTCATTAGCTAACCAAAAATTAAATTTTTATATTGTAATTGAAGTTATAATTACACAAGAAGGAAAAAAAAAAATCATAACAAAAAAGTAGAAAAAAACAAAAAAGAAAATTAAAATTACAATTTAAAAAGGGAAAAAAATTATGCTTATAAATATTACTTATAGCAAAAAAGACTAAATTAAATTTATGATTTAAAAAAATTTTTAAATATTTAAAAAAAAAAAAAAACTTAAAATATTATTTACAATTAATTATTTTCTAACTATTATAAAAAAAAAAATTATAATTAAATATTTATAAATTTTATTACTGTTTTTTTATTTATAGGCGTTTAAATAAACATATATTTGCATCATGGAAATTGCCATTTTTATCAACAAAATTTAATATGTCAATATGTGGCACTCATAATTACATTGAAAATTGGAAATACAATAAAAGTTTTGTAAGTGAATCAAATGAAATTCGTACTCAATTAAATAGAATAATAACTTTAAAAGATAATGAATATTATAGGAAGAAAAAAAAAGCAGAAAATTTATTAAATAATTTGATGAAAAATGACCTAACATGGCATTATAATTCATCAATTAATTCATCATTATTAGAAATACCATTAAATATGCAAAAACAAAATTTAAACTCTCAAATTTTAGTATAATTTAAAAATTAAAGAAAGAAATAATCCATTATTTTTATTAACACAGATAAAAATTCTTTCAAATCAATTATATACATTCAAAATTTACCGTATTAGAAGTGTTTAATTAATTTAATTTCTTTTATTAGTATTGTTGAAATTTTAATGATATTATCAGTACGATGGTTATTATCATTTGTTGATATTATCAGTTATATGCAAATTATTCTGATAACATTATTTATATGTTACTTCAAATTTACATTACTTATAATTATTATCAATTTTTTTTTTTTTTACATCTATTTTAATTAATTGTATATTTTATGAACACTTTTTTTTCCTCTCTCTTTATTAATTAGTGTAAAATTTGTTAATTATTTTTGTGTTGTAACTATGATTATAAAATTATCATTAATTTCTATTCAATTTTACTAATTAATATTGATTTCTATTCAATTTACTAATTAATATCTAATTCTAATTAATATATTTTTGTCATTATTACTTGTTAGTATTTCTTAGCGAGCTACTATTATCAAAAGTTTTTATCATTTTATATTTATTTATGAATTTATCTTATTTTATTTTATTTTTTTTTAAATTTATCTTATTTTGCTCGTTTTTGTCCTTTTCTTTTTCATTATTATTGTAAATTAAAATATTTATTGTATTTTTAAACAAAATAAAATTTTATCATTTATCGTTCGATAATTATAACAATGTTAAAATTCTTTTAAAGCTAAAAGTAATACAATTTCAAATATATTAAATTAAAAATGAATTTTTGAATGGAAATGAAAATTTAATAAAAAAAAAAATGAATTTTAAACAATTAATTTCTTTTTCATTACACACAATTTATAAATAAATCAAAAAAAAAAGACTTCTTTTTTGTTCTTAATTTTTTTTTTTTTGCTCATTTTAATTAATTTCATTTTAATTTATAAAAAAAAAAAGAAAATTACTGCCTTAAATTACTATTATATACTTTTAAGTAATATATTAGTTAATTTAGCAAATTTTATTTGCTTTTGCTATTTTGTCACATAAAACTTAATAAATTACTTTCATCAAATTTTCCTTTTTTTAATTTTTAAAACTAAGTTTATTTATTTTTTTTTTTTTTTGAAGAAATCTTATTCTTTGTACATTTGATAATAATAACATTATCGAGTTGCACTTCATTCCATATTTATTACTAATTTAAATATAATTTAATTTTTTAAATTTAATTAAAAATTCTTTTCTTAATTTTTTTTTCAGAAATGAGTCATATATAAAATTATATATTATCTAATTTGAATTATTGATCAATTAAATGAATTTTAAGAAAAAAGAAAGCCAAAAGCAGTTTATAAAAATCATTGAATATTTCCAGGAAATGAAAATATTTCAGTTTGATATAATAATTATTTGAAGCAATTAGTTTCCATGGTAACCGATAGGTATTCATTCATTTTTCAATTCCCTTTGCATTATTTCTAAAGTTAAAATCGATTTCAAATTTAAGTATTACAAATTTTCTATCATAAAATTTTATCATTTCCATTAACTGAAATTAAGTTTCATAATTTTGCTAAAATTTGATTTTTAAATAACATAAAATTATTATCATTCAAAAAATCAATTTGATTTTAGTTAAATAATTCACTGACTAATAAATGACATCTCAGCCAAATACTTCTCCTTAATTAATTAATTAGTAAATGACATCTTGGCCAACTACTCGTTAATTAATTAATTAGTAAATGACATCTCAGCCAACTACTTCTCGTTAATTAATTAATTAGTAAATGACATCTCAGCCAACTACTTCTCATTAATTAATTAATTAGTAAATGACATCACGGCCAACCACTGCTCGTCCAAAAACTTCCGCCGGTACACGTGCCACTTCAGCTAGGCTTCGTAAACCATCATCGACTGCAAATGCTATTCAATACGGTAAATTTATATTATTTTATTTTTTTTTTCCTAAATTAATTTTTGATGACAATATGCTAATGTCATCACTATAAATAAATAAATAAATTAAATAAATAATTAATTGCTTACATTATTTTGTGGATGTTATGGAACGACCAGTTAGCCGTGCTGCAATGGTACCGGAATCAACCGGATCAGTTACTCCATTACGGTCAGGTACGATCGTTTTTCTCTCTTCTTTTATTTCTTGTCTTTCATTTTTATTTTTTTATTATTAGAGAAAAAGAAAAGTATTAATAACAAAAAGTGCTAAATTTTTTTTTAATTTTTGAATATTCATTATTAGTAAGAATTTTCTCCTTTTTTTTTTCAATAATTATTAAAATTTAAAAAAAAAAAAAGCAATAATCCATTCTTAAACACTAGTTGTGTTTTTCTTTTCTATTTTTCTAAAGATGTCAACAAATTTTGATGGTAATTTTAATCAGAATAATACTATAAAAATGTGATATAATGATAATATTAACTTCAATGATAGAAAATCGATAATGCTAATCAATTAGTATTAATTGTTAATTTAAAAAATTTCATAAAAATTATTGCAGTGAGTCAAATTAGTTCTATTCCAACAACACGATTGAATACTGCTATGGTATATATTTTTTAATTTATTTTATTTTTTTAATTTATTATAATTTGCATAAATATAAATTTGCTTTTCTTTTTTTAATTTAAAATTTTTACTCATTGATTTTTCTTTTTTTTTTTTTTTTTAGAATTTTACAAATGGAATAAATTTGAATTGTAGCGTAACGAAAATGTTCGAAATCGTTTGGGTACAGGTCAAAATGGTAGATTACCGACAGGTACAATTCAAGCAGCACCACGTGGTACCACAATGCGACCTGTAACACAGCAAGGATTAACTGGTGTTAAAACAGCAACCAGAATTGGAAGTTGAAAATTTCTTTTTTGCATAATTTTTACTTTAGAAAAAAAAAAAAAAAAAATGAATGAAATGTATAAGTGAAAAATAAATGAAAGAAAATTTCTTTTCCTACTTTCTCATTCAAAAAAAAAAAGTGAAAAAAAGACTAACAAAAAAATTTAAAATAAAATTCAAATTTAATATTTAAATTTTGAAAATTTTTAAAAATATAGGTGGACGTTTTGTGATCGATAAAAGTTACTATATGTCATTATTTCGAGCACAAATGAATAATTTAATGAATGAAATTGATAAATTACGTGATGATTTAAACAGAGGTGAACGTGATCGACAAAATTTATTGATTTATGAAAAGAAGTAAAATATTTACTATTTAAAAAAAAGAAATTTAAAAAAAGAGGAAAAAAAAACAAGTAGAAATAATTTCCATTTAATAATAATAATAATAATACTAATTACTTGAAATAAAGAAGTGTAAAAATTAAAATTTAGTAATAATTTATTATTTTGTTTTTTTTTTTGTTTTTGTATATATATGTATTTAAATTAGAAATAAAAATGTTTTTCGAAATTTAAATTAAGAATTGATGAAACAATCAATAATTTATTTTTCATTTTTTTAAATATTAAATGTAAAAAGTAACCTTTGAAAAAAAAAATGCTTAAAAAAAATTAACTGATAAACAATTTTTGAGCATTAATTTATATCTTTGAGAGTAAATTTTATAAATATTTTTTGACATTATTATCGTATTATCATAGGATCAATCATAAATAATACATTCTGATTGATCAAATCTATTTGATAATAATTTTAATCATAATTTTATATTAATTATATATCATTTTTAGAGCAGAAGAAGAAGCAAATATAATTCGAACATTGCAGGGACGTTTACTAGATTGTAATAAAGTAAGCAGTAAGAAGTAAAATTTTATTAGTTTTATATTTTAAAATTAAAAAAAAATTAATTTAATAAACGATAAATATTAAAAAGTTAGAAGTTCGATATATAAAAATTAAAAAATTCAAAAAATCAATCAATAATTCACTTTTTTTTTTTACTAAATTAAATGTTAGTAGAATAAATTGCAATAAATCTTTATGTATTTTTTTTTTTTTTTTTTAGTAATATTTAAATTATAGAAAAATATTTGTTCGAAATTATTTTAATTAATTAGAAAACAAAAAAAATGATTAAAAGGAAGTTAATCGATTAGTTTTTTTTTTCCTACACTTTTTTAAACAATTATATTCTTTGATTAAAACATAAAATAGTTTAATTATTTTGCTTCTTTTTTTTTTTTTTTGAAATCTTTAATTTTAATTTTAGTGTTTATAATTTGAAATGAATAAATTGCAGATAATGGATTTGACTAATACAAATTCGGAATTGCATGAAATTGAAAATGAATTATCGAAATTACATAAACAACGTAATGATGCCGAAAAGAATTTAGCTGATTTAGTTGAAAATCGACGTATGAAAGAAGATGAAATACGTTTAATTGAAAATAAAATTGAGGAACAGAAAGCACAAAATAATGCTAAATTTCATTCAATGGTATTTAAAATATTTTTTTGTTTTTTTAAATTATTAATTTTGAAAATTTATTTAGCATTTAGATTTTGCATAGCAAATTGAACAATTTTAAATTAATTTTAATTAACACTTAGAATCCAACAATTTATGATGCATATGAAGAACTGAAGAAAGAAAATGAGAAATTATTGGAAGAATATGGGATGAAACAGAAAGAATTAAATGAATTAAATGAAAAGAAGGAACAATTTGATGAACATTTGGCAAAATTTACACTCAAACAACAAGCTGGTATATTTTAATAAAATAATTAGAATAATAATTTTTAATATTAAAAGTTATATTTGTAATTTTATAATCTTTAAAACTGTCAAATTAATACTTAATTTATTTCTAAACTAAACAAAGAATTTTCATTTACAACAATTATTTTGAATTTTTTTTTTTATTTTAACTATCAGAAATTGTTATAATATTCAAATATAAATATCGAATGAGAATTTTTTTTTTGCTTTTAGATAAACATTTTTTAAGTATCAAATTGATTTTAAAAGTTGGATGAATTTTTTTTTTAGTGTAAAAAAGATATATTTAATGGTAACAATTAAAAAACAACAGCAAATATTAAAATATATAAATTTAGAATTAATTAATAACATAACATTATCATATTATAAGTAAGAAATTTTGAAGTAAATTTTTAAAACAATTTTAGTCTTTTTTTTTATTTTATTAAATATAAAATATTGTTTACAATTAATTAATAAATAATATAATATTATCATATTATTAATGTAAAAAATTTTGAGGTAAATTTTAATTTTTTTATTTTATCAAATATAAAATATTGTTTACAATTAATTAATAAGTAATATAATATTATCATATTATTAATGTAAAATTTTGAGGTAAATTTTAATTTTTTTATTTTATCAAATATAAAATATTGTTTACAATTAATTAATAAATAATATAATATTATCATATTATTAATGTAAAATTTTGAGGTAAATTTTAATTTTTTTATTTTATCAAATATAAAATATTGTTTACAATTAATTAATAAATAATATAATATTATCATATTATTAATGTAAAATTTTGAGATAAATTTTTAAAAAAATATTAACTTTTGATTTGATTAAATACACATATATTAGAAGTATTACTTATTGTCAATCTTTTATAGCTGCACTTTACGAACGTTTGGCAGAATTAGAAGAGAAAAAGATGACAATTGTTGATGAAATTAACGCCGAAGGTACGCCAGATGAGCAACGTGAACGTTTACTGCAAACAGTCATACGTACAACTAATGAAATTGATATTATACAAAAACAGTAAGTATTTACTTATCAAATTAGTAATTTTATTTCTTTCAATATTTTCTAAATAATTAGACCTTTAGTAAATATTAAATGTAATTAACCACTAAATGTTATATTTAATATAAAATTTTATATTAAAATTTTGCAAGCAAACAAAAAAAGAAGGCAAAATTTAACTTCTAAAATTATATTAAATAATTATTGTGATATTTTAATTTACAGATTAGATGATGTTAATGAACAAACTGAACAATTAAGAGAGGAATTACGAGAATTTGATATTGAAATGGAAAATGTTGCTGGTAAATTAATAATTATCAGTTGAAAAATTGATTTAAATTATCACTTTATCATGTGTGTGTGTGTGTGTTTCTTTTTTCTGTCATTTTTAATGATTTCAAAATGAGATACTGTAAATTAAATAGCTTAGATTTTTGCTTAAATTAATAAATTTTTATGGTATGCTTATCTGATATAACAATTGCATTAGCTGAAATTAATGTTAAATATTGAAAGCTATACTTGAAGTAAGCTAACATTTGTTTAGGTGAAAGAAACGAGAAATATCGAGAAGTTAAATTAAAAGAAATGCAAATAGATGAATTTTTAAATTCATACGACAATTTGAAAGCAGAAGAAGAGTCACAAATTGATGTAATATCCACTGAAGTAGTTCGCAAATTAGAATTAATTTCAACAAACATTACGAATTTAAGTTTAACTTCTGGGACCACCAATCTCGATCTCACCGAATTAGCCGAATTCAATGAAAATGTTACAGTATCAGCGTTACAGGAATGTGAGCAATAGACTGTTTTTGAATTATTATTAAATTCATTTAGCATTCAAAAAAAAAAAAAAAAATCAATCACAAAAAAAAAAAAAAAAAAGAAAACTTAGAAACATTGAATAAATTTGAAAAACCAAGACGAAAAAGATTAAATTAAACTAAATTATTTATGAAATTTGTCACCTTTTTCTTTTTCAAAATCTAAAAATAAAAATAATAATAATAATAAGTAATATTAATAACTATGAAATAGTAATATTTGTAGTGTATGTTTGTTTACAACAAGAATTAAATGAAATGAATAAGCTGGAAGAGAAGCTTCAAATGGCTAATAAACAGATTAGTGAAGAAATAAAAGAAATGAATGAGAAAATGGATGAATTTGAAAATATTAACGATTTCAAAGTTCATAAAGAACAAAAACGTCAGGTATGAATAATTAATTTATTCGAAAAATAAAAATTATAATTTATTAATGATATAATTTGTAAAAGATTATTTTTATTTCAGGAATTAGAAAATTGTCATGAAATGTTGATGGTAGAATTACCAAAAATTAACAATTCATATGAGAAATTGATGGATGAATTAGAGCAAACAAAATTTAAACTCGAAAAAAATGATGATTATATCAAAGTAAGGAAGGATTAATATTAAGAATTGTTTTGAAAGATTTAATTTATAGTTAGATTTTTTTTCTTCTCCTTTTGATTATTTCTCATAACAAAAAAAAAAAACTGATATGGTTTTTTAAATACATTTTATGATTAGAATTAATTTTGATCTATCATAAATTGATCTTAATTTGATCTTAATTATACTAGTACTATTAGCATATTAGCATACATTCCAATGATCAATAAATTTGTATTATAACAACGTTTTGCAGATTTACATAAATTAATTTAAAAAATTTATTCAGTTTAAAAATGTTGAAAAGAAATGGCAATGTGCAGAAAAAAATTTGAATGTGTTACGTGAAGAAGCTGCACAACGAGAATTGGAAACAAATTATCAAGTTTTCAAGGAAGAGGTAAGAAAAAAAAAAATTATAAAAATTTATTATTACGTATATTACGTACGTGAATTGAATACATGTATGTACCTAACTTATATATAAACTTAGCTGTTTGAAATTGAAAATTAAAAGTTAAGAATTAGCTGAAATTAATTATTATTATTATTATGAATAAAGGTGATTACAATTTAAATAATATCACATCTATTTGGACTAAGTAATCATTATTTCAAGAAATTTTGTTGTTTAAATATTATTTTGAATTTGAACATCATTAATTCAAGCATTTTTAATTTCAATATTGTTTTAAGCATCGTTTTGATATATTATAAGCAATGAACATAATTTTGATTTATGAAGAAGCAAATAAAATTCGGAAATTGATAGTTGAATTTTCTAAATAAATTTAATACTTAAAAACACATTTACTTGTGTTTGTAGTTGTAAGATTTCTACTTTTGATTACTTAAAATTATGTTTCTAAAATTCTGTTATACAATTATTATTAATTTATTAATTATTTTATTAACTAACAAATATATTTATTAAAAAAAAAAAAAAAAAAAAAAAAACATTAAGCATTAAATCAACTGATGGTACTTCATCTAAAAATTTGCAAATTTCAAATTTATGTTTTAATTTTGGAATGAGTTTAATTAAAATAATTATTTTTTTTTTTATAGCACATTTTTCTTTGTAATAAATTTAGAGCTTTTAGCAAGCACTAATTTAAATTATTTGAGAAACGTAAAATTGGAATAAGTTAAATTTGTAGTACCAAATGTATTAAATTGTATAAATATTTTTTTTTTTTTGTCATATTTTTATGCATACTATAACAGAAATTATTGCTACAAAAGTTATTTTTGATAAATTCAAAAAAAAAAAAGAATTTATGAATTTTGAAAAAACTTTTTAATAAATTTCAATTTAAAATACTTCCGCACATATTTGTATTTGCAGGCGTTACGATTAAAAGCAGAATATAATGCAGTGTTGATCGCATCTATGAAAATTTGTTGAAAATAACTTCAATATCGTTTCTTTCTTTTGTATTCCTTAATTATCACACTATCATTTTGATATCATTTAATTATTTAGTATCACTGATATTATTTGGTAATCATTTTGATATCATTTAATCATTTAGTATCACTGTTATTACTTAGTTATCACTTTGATATCATTTAATCATTTAGTATCACTGTTATCACCTAGTAATCACTTTGATATCATTTAATAATTTAGTATCACTGTTATCACCTAGTAATCACTTTGATATCATTTAATCATTTAGCATCACTGTTATCACCTAGTTATCACTTTGATATCATTTAGTCATTTAGTATCACTGTTATCACTTATTTATCACTGTTTTCTTATTTCATTCAATTTTCAAAAATTTTTCGTAATTTCTCAATGCATAATTGTCCCGTATTTGAACAATTATAAATTGAAAAATCAGTTAAATTTTTTGGCCAACTGTTATTTGCTTAAAAAACAAATAATTTTATCCAATAGTTATTTTAGTTTCTTGCATTTATTAAATTTTCTCGTCATTTTTTTTTTTTAATTTATATATTTATACTTATGTTTTTAACTTATATATTTATAATTCAACAGTCATAATTATAAAGAAAACTAAATTTAAAGAATACTGAATCATTTGTTTACTTAATTACTTAATAAAGATATAATTAAAATTATCACACTTAATTGTAATGAATTAGCTCTGTTTAAGATTAAAAATTCAAAATGTGCTACGATTTCTATAAGTAAACCGATTTGTTAACTAACTCAAATGAATTCGAAAATATCAAAACAAAATTCTGATTAAAGTTTTTAATTTTTTTTTTTGTCACTTTTTTTTGAATTATTTGAAATTGATTCAACAGGAAATGGTAATGCTGCTTTTATAGGATTTCACAGTTTTTTTTTTTTACAATACTTTATTAATAACTTCTTATCTGCTATTGCTAATGAAAAATAATTAACTAAATTAAATAAATTAATATACTAAATTAAATAACATTAAATTCAATCGACAAATTGACATATTAGCAAATCATTTTTCCTATTCATCAGAAGATCATTAATTTTTTTTATGGATGTGAAAAAAAAATCATATATTTTATCACAATTTAGAACTAATATATTAGTTATAGCAATAAAAATTTGAATTGATAGTGAGATCAAGAATTGATTAGTAATTATGATCAAATTTTAATGATAATTTTGACACAATTTCCGGAAATCATTTTTTTACTTAATTCTTATTTTATTTTCTAGCAATACCTAAAGTTATTGCTCTAACATCGTGAACTAATATTAACTTTTATCAACTGATATGGCATTTCAAAAAATTTAGATTAAATTTACTTTGAAAATCTTTTAACAAAACTTTTTCCCAGTGATTTCTCTGTCAATAAGGTAAATAAATCATATTTCTCATCTATCTTATATTTTTACACCTTAATTCTAAATTATGATAATATTAAAAATCAAACTATTCAATTTCTTATTTGTAATTATCAATTCTTATAATAACTTGTAATTAAATTAATTTGATTATTAAATAATTATAATTGATAGTAACATTCTACGCATTGCTAATTTTACAGAGTAGAATAATCTTTTAAATAATTAAATTAATTTAAGTAACAAATTCATGTTTATGAATACTATACTACATTACAAATAACTAAATAGCATACTGTTTATTAAAATATTCATTTGCATGTTTACACCTGTATTCAACTCTAATTAATTTTGTCACATTTAATTTTTAGTCCTTTTTGTTAGAATTTTCTTGCAACAACAATAATTTAATCTTTGATAATAAATAATACTAATTTAATATTAATTAAATAATATTAATTTAATAGCACAATTGTAGTTACTTTTTTGTATATTCCATTTAATTAAAAAAATAGTTCGTTGTCGAAAGACAAACAGATTATTTGTTACTATTCATTTATGTTTACTTTATTAATTATTTCATCCTTCATTATCACTTACTTATCATTTCCTATCACTAAGCTATAATTGAATTTTTCTCTAAAAATGCATTATTATAATCGAAAAATTTTACATTTTTCTTTTTGTTCAATTTTTTTAAAACTAGAATTTTTGTATGCCAATTCTAAAAGTAACAATTATTGTTGTAATGTCCCGTTTTCCAAGACAAACATCAAAAAATTTTTGACATTTGTTAGTTGAAAATGTTAACGAGAAAATTCTTGAAGAGTTAGAATGGCGAATGAAGAGAAAAAAAGGTAATGTTAGAAGAGAAAAAGTAAACGACAGGTAAGAAAAAGGTAGAAAGAAGGTAAGAAGTATAATTTATGGTTTAATCAAAAAAGTATGTGAAATTTTTAAAAGTTTTATCCATTAAATTATAGTTATAATTTAATGGTAGAGCAGAGCAATTAAGCAAAATTTGAAGCCATTTTAACGGATTTCAAATAATCGAAAGATTATAATAATACAATTTATTATAAAATAAATTTTACATTTATCAAATGCAAATCTGTAATATCCAATGGGTCAGTTATCGGATCACAAACGGTCAAGAGGAGAATGAAGAATGAATTGTAAGGCTGATGACCTGTTTTGGATAAAATTACAATGAATGGATGATTCATAGTTTCAATAATGGATGGATCAGAGAAGTAGGATTTCAAAAAAGATGAATAAATGGAAGAAATCGATTGCAAATAAATATGTAATCATACCATTTCTAGAATTTACCATTTGTTGGCTTTCTTTTTTTTTTTTTTTTTTCTTTTTTGAATTTTTTAAAATTTAAAATTTAGTGAAATTTGAGCTTTTTTTTTAACAAGTTTCACAATTTTCGATTAATAATCGCATTGTTTATTATTATTTAACAGAGGTAAGTGAATTTTGAACTAAGCTATTTTAATCTTGATCAAATTTATATCATTTTTTCTTTTTGGCAAACTTAAAAAAAGAAATTTTTATTTTTGTTAGCATTGAAGTTTAAAATTTTTTTTTTTTTTGAATTGATAATATCGAATAAGAAAATTTATAATTTATTTTTGGTTTAATTAACATTTCAAATGCTAGAAGATATTGAATACCATACCAAATAAGCAAAAAACTTTAATTTTTTTTTTTTTACTTTTTTATTTTGGATTAATTTCAAATTTTAATGCAAAAATGTTTGCTGAATAATGTTATTATCAATGTTTTTTCTCTATTTTTTTTTTTTTTTTTGCAAAAATAATCTTTGAAAATATTTCACTGATTCATCAGAATAAAAGTGAATGATACAATTTGTTTGCTATAACCATAATATATTTTAAAGCACTTAAATGACAAATTTAAATTGCATTTAGTATCATTTGCAATATACAAATGTCAGAGCAAAAAAAAAAAAATCAAAATCAAAATCAAAATAAAAAATAAAAAAAAAATATTATTGCAATTTCACATTTTACACTTTTTTTCACATATACTTTGTACATTAGTAATAAAATTTCTAAATGTTTGCAAAATTCTTTTTTTTTGCTTATTTAAATTTTTTTCTTTTATTTGTTTAAAACTTAGAATTTCTTTCTTATTTACTCATTCAAAAAATTTTTCTTCTAATTTTAGTCATCTAATTTTTATATATGATAATTTAAATGAAATTCAAATAGGAATACTAAAGAATTTATTATCATTGTTGGAACTTTTATTGATCACTACAATGATAAAGTTGATATTTCTTCAAATAATTCAAATTATCTATTTATATTACTTTTTCAAAAGTATTGCTAACATTATAAAAAATAATTGAAAATGTTTGATAATTGTTTGATCAGAATTTAAATTTTATTGCAATGATAATTTAAATTTTTTCAATAATAATTTTGATCATAATTAATTATCTTTTTTTTCTGGAATAATTAAATTTTTTTTGCAATATTGTAACAATTACTGTCTTATTTGAATAATATCAAGTTATATTTCTTTAACAAGAAGTGAGTTTGTAAATTTATAAAATTTCTAATCTTATTCAATCTAAAATGATTAAACATTAAAAAATGAGCAAAAAAAAAGGACAAATAAAAATTTTTAAATTGTAATATTAATTTGATTTTTTTTCTTTTTTTTTTTTTAAAAACGATAACATCATTTTTAATAATAAAAATAAAATTTGCATAGAGCATATTTGATAGTCCTAAAATATATATTTATTAGTAATATACAAAATCAATTATTCTTTAAATAATATCATTTGATCTAAAATGATAATCTTTAACTTATCATTTACATAATATTATTATTAAACATTATTTCATCAAATTTTAAGTAAAATTTAAGGAAATATTTTCAAAAAAAAAAAAGTTTGCCAAATAACTATTTTGAGAAATAAATATAAAAATAATCGAAGGAAAAAAAAATAAGAAATTTGTTAAGATGAATTCCTTTTTTTTTTTCTCTTTTTCTTATCTATTGCAACGTTTTGAGCTATTAAAATTTATATGTGATGAAAACGATGTCAAATAAATTTCATAAAAGTAGGCAAATTTCAAAAAAAAAAAATCTATAAAAAAAGAAAAAAAAAAACGTTTTCTTTTGTATAAAATATTTTTCGTTGAACAAATTATGATTCCTTCTTTTCTTTTCTCTCTCTCCCTCTCTCTCTCTCTCTCTCCTTTTATGGCTTTAAAAAAAAGGAGAGAGAGAGAGAGAAACACTATTAAGGGATTTTTTAAAGTGAAAGAATAAATTAGTAGTAGAAAAAGGTTCAATAATATCATTTTTACTTCATTTAAAATCATTTTAAACTGATTCATGAGATCATTATAAATTGAATATGTGTTTTGTCCAAATTAAATTATTAAATTTGATTTTTTTCTTTTAATTGCAAAAATTAATTTATCTGAATGAAAAAAAAAAGAAAAAAGAAATGAATTATTATTTATTATTATCTATTGTATTCATTTCAATTTTTATATTTTATAACATTCACTTCTTAACATTTTTTTTTCTTTTTTCTCTTTGATAACACTTTG